CGTACCCGCTCATAGGTTTGTAATCGATTGCAAACAAGTGCAATGGTTAATTGGGGCCAGTATTTGAAAAAAAGCCAGTTGTTTCCAACGCTGATCGGCCGATCAGCGTTGGAAATTGATACAAAAATACCACTTTTCTTGAAAATGACAGTATACCAGGTGCCATAATTTTACAGGATGCTTTAGACTGTCATTTACCAACATCCTGTTAAGGTATTTCGCAAAAACTTGGTAGTTTTATTTTTCGATGTTTGCAAATGTTGTATATTCCCTTTAAAAAAAAAAACCAATTCATCACAAAAATGTTGAGCACTAGTCATCAGTTATTATTTCATTGCCTAGGTTGTGCAAGTTTATATCCAGGTTAAAAAAACAACTTGTACCAATATTAAAGACTGAACAGGTTAAATCCTAATGTGTTAAGACTATTAAGGAAGTGTTAATTGCAATAGCCTGATTAAACAATTACCAGACAGCCCTCCAGGTATTCTGTGGTTTCACATGTGTTTCTCATTAGCTGAAAGCTGTCAAAGCGCTACAGTCATAGTTGGGAGGTGTGGAGTTGTTGGACTTGACCACAAATCGGTTGACCTGTGTGACCCCTGATTTGTTTTAATGTGTCTATGGGGGACACCTGCTGTGTTGATTGGTTTCTGAGTGCTGGACTTTTATTGGAGAGTGAAAGCTATAACAGGTTGAGTTTCTGTTTGGATATTAGATGGTGGAGTGAATAGAGTGATTGTCTGTGGAATGCTGTACATTTGTAGGTTTCTGAAGTTGCTTTTTGGACTAGTGTGAACAATTGATGCTTTTGATCGCCTTGATGCTGTTTTTGTATATTAGAGGTTTTGTCTTTCTTCATAAACCCAGGATGTCTATCATGATGACCATCATCAATGCAAATTTGTAAAACACAAGCCTGTAAATAAAATGGTATTAAAGGGTTGGTTTGGTTGTGAAGGTTTTTTCCTTTTTATCTCACACTGGAGCTCATTCATGAAAATAAAATTACGATTGAAGTAATTTAAAAAATATAAATTGACAAATTTATGTACAATTTGCATGATGTACAAATGTATATATTGCACATTTTTACAAAACTACTGCAAATCCCTCCGCACTCTTCTGGAAGGAAAATATCTCATGTTGCCTGAGTATTATCATGCTATTTCAACTTGTCCTGGGAATTTTGATAGCTGTAACAGCAGTTACTACTTCAATGATCACACTACTGTTCAACTTTGGACTCTGGCACTAGAGACCAAATTATGTCAAAATTCATACCTTGAAGTCTGGGTTTGTGCTCAGAAGCATCAAACAGGAATGATTTATGATTACTAACAGCCATAGGGTTGCCATAACCAATACAGTAATGGAGCGTTCCTATATGATGTATGGCACTTGTTAGTTTGATGGCAGCAGGTTATTCTGGGGCCTGGCATGTCTGGGTTGCGAGATTTCCATAATAGGAGTGAGGCTTTGTTGAGGTTCTGTTATTGGCCCAGTAATGTCAGGTTTTATGATGCTGTTAAATTTTTGTGCCCATTTTTTTTTTGGCATTTATGTTATTTTCACACATGTAAGCCTCTGTGTATGCATTGTGCAGACATTAATTCAGTCACCAGAGTGTTCCTTTACATGCCAGAGAATACATTACCAGGTCCGGGGAAAATACTGACATTGTAGTTTGTACCACACACTGTACACATGTTTATACCATGATTGAAGTAAGGAGTAGGAATGTTATTGTTCCGATTAAAGAATTTTATGGAAGAAGGGTGGGACAGGTGGGAATTTAGAATTGGGACGGTCTACTTGCAATACCGTTGAACCATAGAGCTTGGGTCCTTGCTCTATGGTTGAACCTTCTAAATTTCACCAAAATCTGAAGTTTTTGTGTGCTTGTATACACTTGCTGCAGAAACTAGTATAAGGTAAAAATAGGGTTTTTTTGCAACATTAATTTTTAGTGATCTACCGGTGTACTCTGCATTCGCACGAAAGTGTAGAGAATGGAGACAAACAATGATTGTGATTAATGGTTGAAAAACTCTAGAGCATTGTGTATTTGACCTTGGAATATTCAATATGGTACCACTCTTTGAAAAGCATTAAAAAAGGAGTACATGTCAAATGCATTTATCATAACAAAATAGATTGTACATTGTACACTGAACTGGTATTCATCAAGGGTTGAATTACACTGTATACGTGTAAGACTAAGAGCTTATTATGTACATGATCTGACATGTACTGTACATGTATGTAGAAAAGTGATGCAGTTTTCAGAGATACTCTTGATATAGTTACACATGTGTATACACAATTTTTGTAGATCATTTGCATACATCTTTCAGGTATGTGCATTTGCATGATTTGTACATGGAGAAATAAAACACATGTACAAGGATATTGAGTAGACCTCTCGTGCATTTCATTGTTAACCCTAACCCTGCTGAATCCATCAGGATCCAACTATGTCACATTCCCGATGGAGCCTGTTGGATTGAGCAGTTAACCCCTTGTGTACATTCCTCACGCAAAATGTTGGATTCAGCAGGCAACTGAACAGCATTATAACGCCATGTTGGACTCTGTTGGATTTAGCAGACAACTGAAAATGAGGCACAGTGGATTGAACAGGAAAGTCCGGTTGGACTCTGTTGGATTTAGCAGGGTAGTCCTGAGGAAGTACTAGGGGGTTAACATACATTGTAAAATACACCCAAGAGATGGCTGCTGAGTGTTGAATGCAATCAGTCTATAGGTGTTGGATGATGCAGCAGTAGAGACTCCAGAACATATTCAGATACACCATGGATACTGTGGCTTCCTGAGCCAATTGTGGAATGTCCAAGTACCACCTGTAATTTGGACCTTCTGTGTCAATATACAGGTTGCAAGGGGTCACTAGGACAAAGACAAAGGGTCACAATGTGTCATACATGTGTTGGATCTCATGCTTTTGGACACATTGAGCAAGTTATAGTTGAGACCATAGTGTTGAAAATATAGCCTCAAAACAAATAAACAGAAAAGAGATGTGAAACTTTACACCCTAGGTTTGCTAAATCATGTATGATTTGACTTTTACTTAAGAAAGTTTAGTTTTTAAGACATTGAAGTTTTAACATATGCACGGTATCCAATAAGAAAACTAGACAAACTTTATGAATTCTTGTCAACGTGGTTTCCGTCATTTTCTAGATTGGTTCGCATACACTGTAACAGTCAAACTAAATATAGTTCAACGCATTTTTGTAACAGTTATTAGGAGTAACCAGCAAGTCAAACAATTATTTCATATACCAGAATGTGTTACTTGTTAATATCCTTGACTAAGCAAGACTAATGGTTCCAATAGAATAGAAATTGGAGCTAGATAAGGTTGATTTTTATTATTTAGGTTTTTATTATAAGTTTTTGAATGTTAATTCTTGCATTTGTTTCTGTTGACTCATTTCATTAAACTACACAAAATAATTTGTTAGTCTGCTTTGTGCACCTGCACAACATAGTTTTGGCATTGCATGTACACGTACATTTTATTTACATATGTACCTGATAATTTGCGCGATAACATTTCCCCTGCAAAGAGTCATGAACTTCTGTGCAATAATCATAAACAACATTCCAGCAGACAGGAGGGCATTCTCGCTTAGGGGTTAAGGGGAACGGGTGGGGCTAGACCTCAAGGGGCCTATCTGAACATTATCTTGTAGTAATTATCTGACAAGTGTGATTGATGAGGCCTTAAAAATCTAATGAGCTAGTTAAGGGGAACATTAAGTGCTCTTGTATCATAAAAATGCCATGTCCCAATTTGATGTTGGAGGTCAAAAGGGCTAGACTGAAAGGATTCCTTGTCAAGTCTTTTTCCAAGGCCTGCACAATAGAGTGCCTGGCACTCTCATAGTATCTGGCACAAAAGTTAACAATGGTTTGTTCTACTGATATTTTGAGAAAAATTGTGAAGTTTCTGTCATGCTTGTCTTTGATTTGATATTTCCATCTCATCTTGATGTTTCAAAGCTACATGTAGGCCAACATGTACCTCAGTCTGATGGACTCTTAATGCTTCTCAGATCATGACCAATTCCTATCCCGTTTCCATACAACTGAACCACGGATTGATTATTTGATCCAATTCCAAGCACGCAGCAAGGAAACAATGCTCCAACTCATGGTGGGCCTTTGTGTGTAGGAAACCTAACATTTTAGGCAGTGACTGTTTTGAGAAGGCCCCTAGTTGTTTTCATAATAAAGAACGTCGATCCCCAAAACTCAATTGTGAGATATCAAAGACTATGGAGCACTGCCATGTTAAATGAATCGTCCTTGGAATAAGATGGCCACATTTAATCATTGGTGGATCTGGCCAAGGCATAACAAATCCATTCACAATGCAGTTATCAGCACTGAGCTTACAATCCTATGTTGGTATTAAGTCTGGATGCGGACCCTCCTGCCATGACATGGCACAGCTGCTACTGTGTTGTGTCAATAGCCGCAGCTGTTGTGTCTTTGCACTAGATGTGTTTGTGTTCACACTTGTTAGGAATGCAAGCAATTACATGTATGATGATCAGGTTGATTGTTTTATGTGCTGACCATCATTTGTTGGGTATATTAAATGTCATTATCAGATGAATCGGCGTTTTGGATTAAAAAGTGCATTGAAAAATGCTTGTAAAGTTTAAACATGTGCACCATGTACATGGAGGTTACTTTTTATTTCGAATGAATTGTAATTGTACGGTGGAGGTCTCTATGCAACTGTATTTTATTTTTCTGATAAGGAATTTATCATTTGTAGCATTGAGAAGTTAATGGCTATAAATGAAATTATATCTCAGGATGTGATGTGATCTGTACATGTATGTGCACTGATGATGAAATGTTACCTGAGAAGATGTAAATATGCTGGCTGACACAATCTGTTTTTAGAGAACGGAATTCTGATGCATACTTTGATTTTTTTTGCACTTTGATGTGTGTAGGATAATTTGAACGTGTTTCTGGGAGCCTGTGAGGATCTTGGACTGAAGGCTGCACAGCTGTTCCATCCAGGAGATCTACAAGACTTATCCAGCAGAGCAAGGTACATGGATATCAATGAATAATCTCAGCCAAACATAATGAAGTCTGTCCAGGTTTGTATCAGGTGGAGCAGATAGATGTAGTAACTCTGTTTTTGGCTATTTGCCAAATTCCATTGAGTAAAACTTGATATTTCTAATTTTGTAAGAACCTGGAAGGACAGTGATTTTCTTGACTGCGACAGTAAAACTTGAGAAACGGAGTTTTAAGTTGTTTCTTTTTGCAACAAAATTGTGTAAAGCTTTTTAGAAGTGATTTAGGGAGATGCACATTTTTGCCATACTAAAGGTACATGTAGCGTCAGGTTGGGTCTGGCCATTTGAGGTTTTCTTTTTGGCCAGACACAATTTGTAATATTACATGCACTCAGCTGATTCTCATTTGTGGTTGAGACCTCATCCACAAATTGACTGCTGACATTTCCCAAGGGGCTCTTTCCCTTTCTTTTCCAGTCTACTTTCTCAATGGTGTGACTGAAAAATGTTTTTGTGGTTAACACACCCTTACTAAGGAATGTTGCCTGGGGTTACTAAATAAAGAGGCCACTCTGTTGTGGTTTATAATGTTGGCTTGATACAGGAAGGCTGGTTAGACACAGTTCATCATGTTACATAGAATAATATACAAAGGCCCTCTCTTGTTTTTGTGTTTAAGTTTGCAAGTCATGCATGTCAATATTTCTCAACATGATTTATGTGTTAATGCGTTGCTGAATGAAATGGAAGTTCAGTTCCGGAGGGTTTTGGGCCTAGTTAACCCTAACCCTGAATCCTCCAAAATCCTTTTTGCAAATTGGAGGAATTTGCAGGATTGAGGTTACATGGCAAAAGTGCGTTGCTGATTTCGGAGTACGCACTGTGTCAAGGTCTTGGGCCGGACCTTGTGTTGTTTATGCTCAGCCGTGCATAAATTTAGTCCTTGATTATACTTGAAATCCTCCACACTGCTCCAGGATGTCACTGCCTCTGCCTCAGCCTATTGACAGACATAGCAGGAGGATTTTGCAGGATTCAGGCAGTGGTCATCCCTCCATGGACCATATTCAAGAAACAACGGAGGAATTTGCAGGATTGAGGCTATATGCTATTTTTCCATGAGGCCAGTTGGAGGAATTTGCAGGATTGAGGCTACATCCTAGCAAAAAGGCCTAGGGAGTTAGGGTTAATGTTCAATAATGTCTCCTAACATAGGACCCTTTCAGACTGCAATTTCTTTTAATAGGTTCGTGGTTTAAAACTAAGGATGTCTCATAAATATGCAGGGAGAGAATTTGCCAGATGGTGTGGTGTAAAAATAGTAATACATAAAATGGAGCTTTATGTAAATTGCTGGTATAAAAAATGTATTGGAACTTTGGTGTACATGTACATGAGTCATATTTCCAACTGCATGTACTGGGTATTTGCCGTGTTAGAATTCAGGACATGTACAATTGAATTTCTACATCACGGATAGTATAACATAACTATCCAAAGATATTTGAAGTTTATTTCTATTGAGTACGTTGTATAAAATTTTTTTTTAGCATTAATTTAATTTGAACAGTATGTATGGGTCATGTTTAATACACTGTTTCTTTTTGTCATTCCTCTTCAGTTTGTCTGTACAGGAAAGGAGGAAAGAGGAAGAACGCCGACTGAAAAGTGTGAGTTTTATCTTCAGATTTTGTATCATTAATACATGTACTATCAAACCTTATAACAACAAAACGAGGTACTGGTAGGTGTTTGGCTGCAGAAGCCTTAAAAAATGTGATTCAAGAAGGTAAAGAAATATTCAGTGGGCAGAAAGTCTCAAATTTCTTGGGAGACCCACCTATCCAGGTAGGATTTTGAAAGTTTATCCAACCTGTCAGCATGCAAGGAGTTGAAAACTGGGTCACGGAAGTCCAGGCAGGGAAACTACCTGACCATCTTGATATTATTTTTAGGGCCTGAAGAGAAAATAATCCACAGAGCTTTTGGCAAAACACAGTAAGCAGCATGAGGATTCCCTGTAGAAACTTTTGTGCAGTGTTTGCGCTGAGGTACCAACATCACTTTGAATTTCTGCAACTTGTTTGCTAAATGTGACTATTACAAGTGGTGTTGTTGACCTGACGGAAATGGACCATCTGTCTCTCTCCACCTCAGTGACCAACGTTTGGTCAGCTCTTGTAAGAATCTCGTTTGAACTCTAGACTCTGCATCATACATGTGATGACAGAAGTGTCAGGTGTGAGAGGCTGTTTGTCAGATTGGATTGGGTCTTGGCCCCTGGATGGGAGTAGACCCTTGTGGTACCATGATCGCGGTCCATTGAGGGTTGACTTCATAGCTGACAAGTTGTGCTTGTTACACAGGTTATACCTCAGCAGTGAAGCACTTGTCGCCATTTTTGTAGTTGTGTGCTTTGGACTGTTCATGCACTGCAACCTTTTTGGAAACCCTTCTGAATCACCCGAAATACCACGAAAATAACCGTATTGTCAGATTCAAAATTCTGAGAGTTGCAGTTCAAGTTCTGAACCCAGGCATGAGTGTTTTCAATTGGAGAAGTTAAAAAAAAACCTGCACATCTCAGTGGATTTTTTTAAAGAGGATTGGGCTGTTGAGGTTTAGAGTCAACATGAGGTTGACTTGATTTTTGGATTAATCTCTGCTCAGGTGTGTATTACCATATTCTGGCTGGGTCGTACCGCCAATCAGCTAGACACCTACACTGGTCCCCATCTCAATTTGGATGCATTTGCACCGTTGATTCACGGCTCCTCATCGCTAGTCAAGGTAGGAAACTTTTCATCACATTTTATTTTGAAGAAACTGAGGTCATGAATGAGTTCTTTTCAAGGGCCTTGGATCTGGCTTTAGAAGAAAATTGACAGACCCAGAATTGAAGTAACCGGACAGACACCACTGAATGTCATGTTTGACTTCATTCAGTTGACTAGACAAAAACTAGACAAAAAATTCAACTTTTGTTTGCCCACAGAGAATGATGATTCACTGTAATATTTGGCAAGGTTAAGTTCAAGTTAACAAACCAAGTCAGGTTTTATAATTAAGTTTTTTGTTCGTCCATCCCAGCCCATCTTAGGATTAATAAAGAAACTCATGTATTTTTTCCAGTTTTCGTTACCTTAAGTGCAGCTTGTTTCTAATTTTGGAGTCTGCCTACCCTGGGGATGTGATATCATAATATCAGCAGTGATCAGTCATCACCCACACACCAGTAGGTGACAGGACAGGCCAACTCCAATTATGTCACTAATCCTCTAAATGATGACTGTGACAGTAAGGTTATGTGACCATGACATTGATGGTATGCCCCAAGATCAGTCATGTCTAGACCCTCGTAAGGATGAAGAGAGTACAGCATTAATCACAGGAGCCACACACAAAACTTGTGTGATACAACAGTCCCTGGATATTTTTGAGTATCATATAGAACTGTTTTGGAACCACAGGAATCATTGATACATGTACACGTAGGCATGATGGATGTGTACCCTCAATTGCAAAACAGGTCAATACAAGAAGCTTGGCAAATCTGTTCCCTCCAGAATTGCCTCAAACTCTGAACTCATGTTGGAGATGTGGAGCTGGCCAATATTCAAAACTGTCAGGCACTGCCTGGAATCAACTCTCACAGAACACGAAGCGGCTTCTACAGAGGATCAGGTCCTCTTAAAAAAGTGGAGAAATGTTCCATTTGAAGAAATCCTATTTGATGAACTTACCAAAACCACTTTTATAAGAATATAAGTATCACTGACTATGACTGCATACTAAATTTTCTCATTTGTACAGGGCCTATCACCGGATAACGCAAGCAGTGGTGTTTCTTCCTGGGCCAGTGGTACTAGCACCAACAACAACTTCCGCTCCAGTCTAGGTTACAACGACGACGTCTTCACCTCAGATGGCATAGACCTGACTGCAATCGCCCCTGAGAAATACACGGAACCCAAATGGAAGCGTGATCTTAGGAGAGAACTGGATAGTTCTGTGCCAGGATTGTCTGATTATACTGGCAACGTTAATAGTAAACCAGTCTTAAGGATGGACAGCTCACGACGCAGACCGCCGCCCGTTGCAGCTAAACCTCTACACACTCGAACCAGGAGCATGCCGGAGAGGTCTAACTTGGAGCGACAGAACTCGGTGGAGGATGAGGACTCGCAGTCTTATCGTAGTGGGTCATCTGGTGAACCGATGAGTCCCACAACGTATGATGAGTTTGTCAAGAGTAAAGGAATGGTACAGGAAGACCAGGAAGTATGGATGTCGGTGAGTGAGTTTGCTAGACACAGAAAGTATGAAACTGGCTATTGTACAAATGGAGGAAAATTGTGAGAAATGGTTCCATTTAAGAAATACATTTAACGTTTCCAATTAGGTGTACAGCTTACATGCGGGTCATCATGAACTGCTGTTATTTGTGTACAACCATCACCCATCAATCACCATAGCTAAAATGAGTTTCAGTTAGCGCTTAAGCAGAAGGCTTTTTCCTCAAATTATGGCAAGTTTGAGGAAGATCCATACACTTGTAAATGTATTTGTGTGTCGACAATACTATAATTTAAATTGAACAATTTTGAAACCCCATCTACCCACATAGGGTGCGAAACCTGTACCGATTTTTGTTGACTGTGTTTTCGTTTGAAAAAGTTCTCGCACGGTCCAATCTGCAATTTGTTTTGGTTTTGTTAGCATGCTTAAACCCCCAATTTCTTTATATATGTGTGTGTGTGTCCCCTCTAAGATGGCTGATACTGCAACTTCAGTGGTGTCTGTTCAGCGGGTGAGTCTTTATACATCACCGTTCATCACCTCGGGGTGCCATGGTGCATTAACAATTAATCAAACCATGCAAATAATCCAACAATAATAGATTAGTACGCTTCTCAATTTGAGCTCAGACCATTGTTAGTTGTAAATCGCAAGGCCTATGTGATACATAGGAAGGTAAATAAACTTATCTTTGCACTGTAGATGTTCTAATAACATTTCTTCAAACTGTAGAAGAAAGCGGGATTTGCAAGATATTGGAGTTTATAGTTCCCTACCCCATCAAATTATTTCCACTTTTCATCTGAGGGCAAGACTACATTGCACGTAGCTTTTAGATTAGTCACAATACAAAAGTCCGGTAAATCCATACAAGTAGGCTGTTTGCAATTTACAACACTAGACTAGATTCCAGAGCTCTTAAAAGAAGCAGTGTACCGGATTTGTGCACCGTCCAACTGCATTCTTTTCTGTAATCACTCATTCCGTAAGTGGAAAGGAGTATCATTTCACACCTGATTTACTGCCTTACATCACAAGGAATGACAGATATGACAGCACAGGAAGTACAACATGATTGGAGACAAATTAGCTAACATCCTGTGGCAACCAAGACATGGTAGTTACTGGTAGACACATTGGCTGTGGCTATGGATTACTTGATCACCAGACTAAACTTGATTCTAAGAGTTACTAACATCTTATCATGGCAGCTTAATGTAGGCACCAGACTGTCCATATTGAATGGCTGACTGACTGTGGCTACCGGTACAAGCACAACATTCTATACAAACGCACGCATGTAGCAACTTGCAAGTGCAAAAGAAAATATGAACACTCGTCGAAAATGCAATGAAACCAGTCATGTAGAAGCATGTATACATATAGGTGCACTGAGGTTTGTAGTGGTACATGCACATACATGTACTTTGTAGAATATATTCATCATACCGTGTGGTCGTTTGGTAAAGTTTACTGATGCAAAAAGCGCACATCCATAATGCATGTAATCTCTAAAATAATTTTTCAAAGCTTGTCATAACTAATGCTTACAGATTTAACCCAAAGGTGCTTCCTACAAGGAGAAAACTTTTTCCTTTTTTGTGCTAACACATAAAAACCCATCAGATGAAAATTCTGATTAACAGCCAAAATGCGTAATATGCATAGCTTTAGTGTAAGTTTTTCACCTGGTAAACTGGGACTTTTTAAAGTGAAATTAAACGTAATCCCTCAAAAAGACATTGTGTGAGTCAAAGACAACAAACAAATTCAACTTCTAGACTTTTCACCTCCTCCAAACGTACAGACATAGGTATCTGTTTATGTTTTTCACTAGGGAACACAAACAGTTCAATTTATTTGATGAAAAGCAATTTTTGGGTCATGTGTGTATTTTGTTTCAACCAAAGGTACAGGTATTACACATCACTATCACACACAAAATTCCAGCTTGAGAAATTCTTATGCATGCGAAATATTTACTTGAGTGTCTCATCAGAATGAGTTAGCTAATTCACATGAAAGAAATTTAAAAAATATGATTCACAAGCGCAATGCAGCAACATGCTTGAATTTCTGAAATATCTGATAACAACTCCCAGTTGTGCAAATATTTGTTTGTCAACATCATCGAAGTGACAATGAACTGGGTGGACTTTGTGCATATATCTTCTCACATCCTGAATTGTAAAGTCAAGGGGCGATGTAACGTCGTTTGGTGGTGCATATTAAATCAGATTTTATGCTGGCCTTAATATCATTACAGCCACTTTCCCATCCGTGTCTCTGCTTCCTATCTCGCTGTAATCAATTTACTTAAATGGTCACTAACATTAATGTAATTAGGCGGCATGTATTGGATTAATTCATAACGTGTGGGATTAGGTTAAGCTGCATCAGTGGGTATGGGAGGCAACTCTCATGCCAAATTGAAGGGAATATGAACTACAGAGTTACCGATGTGTGAAATAGCTCACGGTATAATATTGCTGCAAGCAGGTTTGGTGGCAAAATGGTTACAGTATAAAGAATCTTTGTCAGTATAGCGCAGTCAAAGTGAATGTAATGTAAGGGCTGAGTACATTATATTACAAGTATTACTCTGGTACATAGAATTGGTTAACTGGATGAAGCTGAAAGTAACGGGCTTCCAAGCTACAGCTACGTCTGTTGTCAGTATGTTCCATGCAGTTGTAATTGTCAAAGAGAGACTGTGGGTCTAGACAAGAGATTTGGATGCAGACTTATTGTCAGAAAGAATCTCTCAATTACAGCCAGTCTTGCTGATGCTGCATGCAATAGTCTTCAACTAACAGTGTACTTGCTTGGAAATTATTGCAACATATCTGTAAACTAAAACTTTCTAACATATATGTAATTTTGCATTTTTAGTTTATCATTAATAAGAATCATTTCATCATGGTGATGGTGGATTAATCTCTTAACTTTCTTGCAGTCAATGTAAATATGGTCTCATAAATGGCATATTTGAAATCCCCTTGAGGTGCCATGGACAATTGAAAATCATAAATATTTCCATTCTTAAATCGGGTTGAAATAGTCTTGGAGGATTAAAAAAAAAACTTTCCATTTGTATATCTCATCACTTAACAAAATATTCATTGTGTTCTGCCGACCGTTACTAATGACCTAGTCTCACCTGAGATTAGGTGTTGTGGAGGTGTAAAAAACAATTAGGCCTACGTGAAGTGGATGATTCAATAGACTGGGGAAATTCCGGTTGGAAGGAAATATAACAACCAGGAAACGTGCTATTCATCACTAAGGACATTTTTTATACGTGCCCTTTTGGTTATATACAGCCTACAGGTACTTGTACGTTTTTCAAAAGGACAAAAAAAAACTTGTACTGGTTCTGAGCTTTTTTCTGCCAAAAGAGGGTGTACCCTTACACGTGTAGGTATACATGTGCTGATTAGGATAGTGTGCAGTGGAGATTGTAAGCAAGTACAGTCATGATTTTCAGACAATGGTTGAGTAACATTTGATCTACAGTCATCAAATTATCATCAATTGCCGGTTTTTTGGGGTCAGTTATCAATGTTTACCCAATTCTCAATCTTTGAACCTCTTCAGACTGTTGTAATCTGTGGTACACTCGTTATAAATAAATGGAAGTACAAAAATTGTGAAAGAACAGGCTACATTTCAAAAAATTTACGTATAAAGGCCGCCATATTAAAACTGTGATTTGTATTCCGGCACAGGTAAGACAGTACTTTTTCCCAGTATGTGTTTTGTGTTTCCCCCAAAAAAGGGTTTTTCGGTAAAGATATCTTTTTGTTTCTACTGTGACATATTTCACACAGGTGTCTATATTATGATGTTGATTCATTATTCGGGTAAGTATATGCAGAACTTTGCACGCTGAAGCTGCGTTGTACCAGAAGCAGAAGTGGTTTGCACATGAATTAATGGTGAGAGGTTCACATCCACTTTACGTTTGTTTTTGTCAGAGTTTGGATTCCTGGAAGTCACGTCGTCGGCGCGCCACTCACTCCGCCTTGGAGAGGAAGGCATCCAGGGAGGAGGTTGAGCAGAACGAGCAGTCCAGACAGAGAAGACGCAGCAAGACGTATCAGGAGATGATGGAGGAAAAGTAAGTGGGTCTGTCAAGACAGTGGCTAATGGAGATAAGGATGTGATCTTTTAAATAAGGAAACTCATGAAGGCGTCCGGGAGAAGTACAGGTGTGAAATTGAACAATTACTGTTGATGTAGGATAACTCCCTTTGTATGCAGGATTTTTGCTGTGTGATGTAAGCACATTTAATCCACTTGGTAAGAGCTCCATCTTCTAAAACTGGTTCCACCCCTCCTTTTAAACGTTGAAATATAATAAAGGCACCAGGGAATCAGTGAGCTTAGACCCATTAGGTGAAACCTCCCTTTACATTTGTGAAGCTAGAAAAGACATCATCTCTTTAAAACTTTGGAGGAAAAAATAACGACACTCCAGTGGCATCATAATTTATCACTTGCAATTTTAGCTGTTGAGAGACTTGAAACCCTTGAGAATGTGACAAGCCTCAGTCGTCCTGACTCAGCCAGACTCTAAACAAAAGATAACCTTTGACCTCAGTGGGGGATTTACGTTCCCATAATTCTCTGGTGTTTGTTTTAGTAGGAAGGAGGGGATTGAGGCTCATTTCTTTTCCAATTTATACTATAGGGACACGTTGACTTTTAACTCTTGAAGTACTGTTGACAGATCGGCAGCCCTTGAATGTTTAGTCGCACTTTTGACATTGAGTTGCCATGATGACATTTTCTTGTTTCAGAAATTCAGAAAATTAAGAATTTTTTTTATAATTATAACATATATTTTTTAAAAAGTATAAGGGAATTGAAGCTTTAAACTTTGGCCTTTCGATATTCTATTGATTTTTTTTTTTGCAACTATAACAAAAAACATATGAAAAGTAAACCTTCAGCTTCATTCGTTCTTGATGCATAAATAATTCATGCCTTGTTCATATTTAATTGCTGTGTGCAGATGAAGTTGAATTGCGCTAGCCAGCAACACTGACCATAAATAGTACAAGCATGCCCATAATTCTAATGTCTTGAGCCTCCATTACTGTTTGCATCCCAGGGAGAAACGTGAGAAGATCCTGATGAAGATGGCCACCAAGAACAAGTCGTTGGATGCTGAGGATATCGTACACATCCTCACCAAACCCTCGCTGTATGAAGATGAAATACAAGATGTGCCTGAGGTGAGTTAAGAAGTCCCAACAAACAAAACCACTTCTCACACCAACTTCTCTCTGTCTGTCCTGGTTGTGTCTGGAAACTTTACAGAGGGTTTGGGGAGGTTTTTTTTAACCATGAAAGGCCGTAAACTTGCTCCTTGCTGAAGTTTAGGGCGCTCTTGATCATTATCAGTTGAGTTTGCATTGGAACAAGTTTGATGGTTGATGCAAGAGGAATTTTTGAGATGCATGCAGAGAATTGTTTAGGATACGTTGATACGCACTGCCTGTCTGATGCTTACTCTTATGAGTGATTAGTGGGTGCCATTTTGCAAGGAGTGGGTACCGGTCTTGTTGAAATGCACTTACAGGATAGCCTCAAGAGGGTCAGGAACAGAAAGCAAAACCAGCCTATGAAATTCAATTTGTCAAAGTTCAGCAAAGAAAAGTTGTGAAAAAAATAAGAGCCCACTCTTGCTGCCACATTTGGATAGAGGTAGCATTTGTGACTGCCAGCCAGATTGTGATCACTTTGCCAGTGGTTTATTTGCTCATTACTTTAAGAATGGAACCTGGGTCATATGCAAATTACCCTAGAGGTCATCCTGTTGGTCAGGTCAACTTAGGGGTTGTACATAAACTTGTTTAGCTAATTAGTGGATGTGTTGATTGAAAATTCTGGTCATAGGGTTTATTAATGAATGTATTAATTGTTGGTGCAAATTATCGTCACTTATCAACTAAGTATTAATTTACATCAATTGGTGCTCTGAATACTCTTCTTTGGAGAATAATTTGACTGATCCGTTTGTTCAAACTGATCAGTTTATTGAGCTGTCGCTTTCCTTAATAATTTTACTCTGCATTTGGGAATCATTGCAATCATTGCTTTGACTTTGTATCCATGCCAAAACATGATCATGTGTTCTACATCATTGCCTCATGTTCATTGCAGTGTGAGCATCCTAATTCATGATCAAATTCAACATAAGGTTTGCTTTATGAAAAAATACATGCTTAGGGTCCTTGTTGAGGGAGGTGCCATTCTTGCAACTCCTAGGAAAAGTGCAATTTAACAATTTTGATTGGTTATTATTTTTCTTGATGTGGATTTAATAAGTACGTTGTAGGCACTAAAGCTTTTGCTTTTGGGTTTCTGGTTCAAATTTGAGGTAGGCAGCTTGCTTGTATACATGCATGTAGCAGCATTGGGGTATGTATTTGAAATTTGTGAAAATTTGGTTGTTGTTAGTGGCTTTTTAACAAGCAGTGAAGTTTTATTTCACTGTCGTATGATTGATTTTTATGAAAGTTAAGGTTGACTGTAGATTCTACTGCCAGAATATGGGGTTGGAGTTCAGGATTTTTTTAATTGGGTTCAGTGTCAAATCCTGATTTTGGATGTCATTGAATCAAAGGAATTTTCTTGGTTTTTTGGTAAAGTGTTGTGTTGTGTCCTGTGGTTGAGTTGGTGTATTGCTTTGTGCATGATTTTCAAGAACATACAGACAGTGTCAGGCAGGGTTGCTGTACTTCACAGCTACATGTATTTACCTTGAAAGATAATTTTGGTAGTTATGGTGATAATGTAAGGTTTATTGATTGTTAATTCATAGAAACGAAAAATGTTAGCATTTGCTCATTGATATCACTGTATTTTCATGATGTGTCATCAATAAATGTAAAAATATGAAATTAAACAGGGTCTAGATTATCACAAAGATTATCAAAATCTTCAATAATGTACAAAATACCCCACCGCCTTAAAATAGCATCAATATATTTGTACTAAATATCATCTATATTTAGCTAAAAATTGAAAATATTTACCACACAAGCATTTGATAAACAGTTGTTTGTTTTCTTGCGGCTTTGTAACATTCTTTGTTGCACAAAATTATGTCCTTAGATTTGCACACAGGATTTAGATTCGCATACAGTGTATGTTTTGGATGAATATTGGAAATTGAAGTGGTTTCTTGAATTTTATAAATCAGACTTTTGTATTCACGGTAAAGCCAAAGAGTGAGACATAGAACTGAGTAATGAGTGGTTAAATAGTTCATATCTTTAGTTAGTTTTGAGAAGGCTGATCTACAGGTATTTTGAATGTGTATATCTGTGATTCTAGAGCGACAATTTTTTCTGTTAAAAGGTTAGGCACATTATGATGGTGAAGAAATGGCAAAAAAAAGATAAATTACAGAACATTCCTGTAAAATCTGGTTGTGGTTGTTGTTGAACATCAATGTTTCCCCACTTTTGTAGTTCGATAATGTGAAAATCAGTGTTTTAATGCATTCATGGAAATTATCCGAAATAAATTGTTAAGCAACAAATAAGTTGCAATATTTGTGTTTGAGGGCTTATAAAAACACATTAAATTTGAAGTGTTAATTATACATTTTAAGGTTTCAACGGGAAGCATAGGTGATGTTGAATTGTAGAAACAATAATTGTTGTCAGGCATCTTTGGTTCTTCAAGTATATTTTCTAAACTTTTTGGGGAGCAATCAAAATGTGTAAGGCTTTTCCTCCTGATGTTTGTGATAGTAAGGCATGATGGACCATTCGAAGTTCCTCCGTGTATCCAAATGAAATTTGCGTGTTTTGGTTTTTGAAATAACTGTGTTTGGTCTCCGCATGATGGGCAGTTTTTGTTGAGCCTTCTTGCCGATGGTTGATTTGTTTTCTGTTCAACTTGAGTTGCAGCGTCATTTGTTTTCAATAGCTTTTAGGTTTTTAAATTTCAAGATTTCTGTTTCAAAAGGACTTTATGTTTTGCTTTTGTTGGTTGATTTCATTCATGTTTATGCGGTCTGTTTTCCTTATTTTATTTTTTTAAATTTTGTTTACATGTTTTTGTCTTTCTTTGTGAGTTTTTTTTTTGGGGGGGGGGGAGGGGGGCAGGCACATGTTTTATTTGTTTCAGTTTTTGTGTATACCTCCCTTGTAACATTTTGTTGTTTAATGGCGCTGCTATTTTGTTTTGATTTTAGCTTCATTTTCATTTGTGCATGCTGTGTTTTTCCCCCTCCGCATTTTTCCCAACCCAGCGACGGCCCCGGTCTAAGTCCATACCTGGCAATTACAAACATGGGGAGTCTAGCTTCCCTACGTTTGACACCACTAACCCCTCTCATGACACCACTGATGCCCCCTCTCTGAGCCGGCAACCCCCTCCCGATGTCTCCCCCAAGCTTAAAGTCAGACGGAGTGGTGTAGGCAGTGCTTTTGCCCCTTACCAGCGAACAGACAGTGTCAGTATTCAATTTTCACATGGCTTCTCTCAATTCCATTTTTCCTTTTTTTTTTTTATTTCATGCCTCTCTCTCTCTAACTAACACTGCTTTACTAACAACACCATCATGAGGAAAAGCTGTAATGGATTTTGCTAACCGTAAATTTTGTAGAAAAGGTGGAAAGTTGAAGGTTCAGTTCAGTCAAGATGCAAACTATGGCAGAATAAATAACTTTGTTATTTTAGGAAAAAAAACTTGTACACTGTTGGATAAAAACTGCTGAACATCACATTGTGAATGTTTGTTTTCACAAGGACTGGAAAGGATGCATTGCCAGTGACTTTTCAGTCATTAATCTTCAGTTTTTGGACATAGCATCAGTGACTGAACTTGACCTTTAACTTCTGACAATAGCCTGGGATCCATCCTGCTTTATCTGTAATATTATAGTTCACTTGTGGACTGGATTGCTCTTTCAGTTCATTCATGTAGTATGACCATCATAACTTACTAATAATTTTCTCTGGAGTGAAATTTCTTTTTCTTCTGGGTCAAAATTTGGACAAAAAAAAACAACACTTTTTAATTTCACAAATTTTAATGATTCAAGTGAAGAAGTGTAGTAATCTTAAAATTTCATAAGCAAGAAATAAGATTGTAATTTCTGGAGTAACCTTTGTTTCAAATTTGAAAAGTATTATATTCGTAACCATGGTTACCCACAAGTGTCATTTGCTTCTTCCAACTATATCCGTACTTTGAATTAAAAATAAACCTGCATTGTTAATATGGTACAAAGTACATGAGGAATTATCAGAAGCTGTCATGTTATAAAATTCTGAAGAATTTGTCAATTTTTAGATCTGAAGAATATTGTTGGGTTGCACAAACATTGTTAGTTGCATTGTACCGGTAGATTCCACCATTGTTATCATTCATAACATTTAGTTCTGTATTACTTGACTAATCCTGAGCCATTCATAAAATGTAGAGATAGTATTTCAATTCTCATTCTTTGAAGCACTGCTTTTGAAATAAAATCAATTTCTTCAGTCAAAATAAAATAGTTCAACGAGTAGTGCTTTGTTCGAGTTGTATCAAGTACGGTTTACTTGCATGAAATTCTGCTGTTTTAAGCAAAGATTGCATAAGTCCCTCTAAAATACTTAATCTCCAAAAGTTTGCCAAAATCTCCATGACTTTTTTTTTATACTCATAGGACTAGTTCCTTAGGTCTTGAAAAGGATTTGTAAATTGCTAGTAGGCATTTAGATTAACATGGCACTTGGTAGGAATTCCCCTGAACACTTTGCCAGATGAAAATGTCAGAGGTTCCCTGAGCATGCTGGGAATTCTTGACAACTGCATCCTGAAGTAACTTGTCCGACCTTGGTATTAATGAGACAGAGTGCACATCATGGATGAACTGACAAATGTCAAGGGATTTAAGATTCATTGCTTGAGCTGCAAAAACATTTCCTCAAGTACAATATACATTAAATTGTTGATATGCATTGGAAAAGATTCGGGGAAGATATGAATTTACATGCAATCTTAAGGAGTAATTCTTGCTTCTTGCAACAACACAAAGTGAATAGTAGACTTCAACAAACTAAAATATTCAAAATGAACTTTTTTTTATGGGGCATAATCAAAGAACCGGCTGTAATCTCGTCTGTCATTCAGTTTATTAGGAAATTTGAGTGGAGAGGGGGCCAGGAAGAGAGGACTTTCAAACTAAAAAATAATCTATGAGCCTATAAAGCTTTACAAAGGATTAAACAGGCATGCAACTTTTCCTCGGATCCGCTGATTTCCTCGTTTATGAATGCCATTACAAATTGAAAAACACTGTACAAAGTCTTGTGTGGTTTGGAATTTCCTCGTTTTTTTTTTTTTATTTCCAGTTGCATGCCTGATTTAAGTTGTTGTATTTAGGTCAATACAACTTGAAATGTAAAGTTGATTTATTATTTTGGGAAAACTTCACTCCACCTAGCTCAAGGTTGGAACCTGGGGTCTATATGAAGGAACAACTATTACTAAACTCTATGTAGTGAAGTAAACTGCATCACTAACAAGGATTTGCTGAGTATATCAAACTGGGAAACAGCCAAACTCAATTATTTTGATTTTGTTAATGCTGTTTGCCAGGTAGATATGCTGAGTATAATCATCTCAATACGCTTATCTCTAAGCACATTTCCTTACTGATCTGCAACTGATTGGCGGTGATTTCACTTTTTTCCATGGGAGGTCTAACTATGTAATCATCCACCATGCACACAACTAATGCTGCACACACTAATCACAGCATTAAGAGGCTTACTTCAAAAAGATGAACTTCGTGATTATTAATGATTGACGGATTGTTAATACTGGACACAATGTTTAAAATTTAATTTTGCCGAATGATCAAATCATTCTGCAGAGCTATGGCGCCATGTTGCCAACATTAATTAAAAACATACAAAATCCAGCCAATTTTTTAGCAAATTTGAGCTATGAATTTCCATCACTGTGCCATGTTTATCCAGAAATTAGAGTCATGCTGTCTGCAGTGCTATACTTGTAGAGGTTTTGTGAGCTCAATCAAACATGCGATTTCCTTTTTCCTGTTTGGCATTGTTATGTAAAAAAGTTTTGAAAAATTCAATAATATCTTCTTGGAATTATAACAATATTGGTTTAGTTGAGAGAAATACTGTACATGTACAAACTCAATTTCCAAACCTGCATCCATCCATGAAAGAAAATTGATTTTTTTTTATTCTGTGGCCTAATGGCTTAGGTATTGAGTGCCATTCTCCCTCACTAAGCAACAACAGCTGTAACTGTCATTACTGCATCTCATTCCATTCCGTTCATCATGATTGAGAGTGAATATCTCAGGGCTGCATTGAATCTGAATCATGGCCACAATATTTAGTCTTAATTAAAATGTGAAGAAAAGAATAACACATCCATTCAAAAACATGAGATAAGTGCTTAACCAACACTTGTGTTCTGGCGATATTTCATTTTTGCTTGCAACTCTGAGTGCAGTCGACCTCGAGGGTTTCTGCATGCAATTTGCAAATAATAATTTCTGCCATTTGTTTTCTTTTTTTTGGATTGAGCAGATGCCTGAATTGGCATCTGAAAAGAAATTGCCTTTTGGCAAATCATTTCTTTTATATTGGATGCGGTTGGGCATGACCAAATTTTGCATATTTCGTGAAAAGCAAGCCCAAAAATTGGAGGCAGATGTTCATGTGAATAATTGACTTTGATAAACAGTAGGCTGCACAGCAGAAAGATGTTTGTACGTGTTGAAAATTAGCCAAATTGGAAATTTACTGGATTGGTTGCCATCAGTGAATTTGCTAGTTGCTGAAACTTTTATCTGGATATTCATGCTCCAATTTGGCACAAAAGAAATTTCCCAACAATACTAAAGTTATCCTACACGGAGTTCACCTTTTTCAAATTCGCATGAAAATTGAGTTTTGTGATATAATGCACAAACAGCGTGGATCCAGTAACGGGAGGAAAACGATGCAGAGCACTCAACGAGTGGATGACTTCACAGACCTGCGCCCAGGACATGTGGAGCCCCTGACATTCCGAGAGAAACTTCTCCGTGATCGAGACCGGGAGATTGGCCTGTCGGTCCAGCAGAGAGATTCTAAATCTTCAGCCTGTTTGCCGCAGAAGAAACGGCTGAGCATGGGCATTATGGGAAGGGTGGCTGCGTTCAACAAGGGTGAAGGGGAGGATGAGCATAAGGCTAAGCCGCAGCCTCCCAAGCCAGCCCCCAAACCGGTAAGGTTGAGAGTGGAATGGAATGAGTAGAAACAGGCCAAGTAAGCCACTGTAGTAGCATTCTTAATCTATAGTGATTTAAAAGCCAGGATTAATAGATTAATACACTTTGTGATGAAAAATATGCATTTATGAATGCTGTCTGTTGTTTTTGAACTGTTGCAATTGTAATTACTTGTAACCGTTTTAAATTTGGCAAAGTAACCTGTGATTGGGATACGTTACCCTCATGTGCACTTTAGTTTTAGCTTGTTATTGTGAAAACAAGCTATGTGTGTTTGACGTGGCAGTTTTGGGCTTTGATTTACAACTGGGGTGATGCGAGATGATGAACACTTTGGAATTAAATAGTGCTTCAATCTTACAGTAGCTGTACATTTTTTACAAAAAAAAATATGTATGCAATGTACAAGCATATAACACAATTGAGAGCTTCTCTTTGTGTTCTTTGATTGACTAAAAATTGTGTAGAGCATGTAATTTAATGTACATGTATGAGTTGAAGGATAAAACCATTTATGTAGCTCTGACTTGACCCCCTGAACTGAAGATAGGAATTGAAAATAGAAGAGCATACTGCTTCCGTTCACAGCGTCTACCGTTTTTACTAACCAGTTTTTATGTAACTCTGTAACGAAAAATCGTAATTAACAGTATTTTCTCAACATGGATTTTTGTATGTTCCTATGCATGGTGTTCCATGGTCCCGCTATTGCACATTGTGATGACAGTACATGTCTTTAACGTGTGCAGTTAGGGAATTCATGCACACAGAAAAAAAGAGAGAACAACTACATGTACATGTACTTTTTCACTAACTCAGCCTTACCGCAGGTGGTTTCTGACTTTCTTCCAGTGTGGTATTTTGCATGAATTCATTTTGGGAACAGTACCTTGCTGTGCAAGTACGTGTGCATGGCTGAGCCTTCTTTAGATCAACATTTTGGTCTGTGGCTATGGATTTTTTTCATCAGCATGCTATTATAAAAAAAAAAACGTAGCCGAAGCCAGAGTCGGACATCACTCTTAATTGTATATCAAGCTTCTGAGGCAATCAGTGATTAATCACGAATAAACTCTTTCTTCTCTCTTTAACTTGTTTTGCTCACTAGTCAAAGGAGCCAGAATACACGGAGCTGACCATCAAAATGAAGCAACGGCCTAGAAATGAGGATGGATTTGGATTTACTATCTTCGGAGGAGCGGATAGCGGGAGATCGATTGTGGTCACCAGCATCACACCAGGTTAAATTCACTTTCATTCTTTTTTCAATTTCAGTTTTGTGGTTTATTTGTAAATGTTTAGTGTTGAACCCATTTGCTCCTTTGCTATATTGTATAACATTGGATTTATTCCCTAGTGAATCCATGAAACCATACAGTGTTGAGGTGGTGTGAGCGGCACAGGGGGCAACAGGCAAGGTGGTTTGGGGATGGTACAGTGATTAATAGGTTAAATATTCAAAGCATCTAGAGACTTATTGCTTGGTGCCTAAATAAATAAAATCTTTCCAAATTGGACAGCTTTGTAATTAGGTAAATTTTGGTCACAGTGATCTAAAAAAAACCAAATGGGTGCAATAATTAAATAAATAATTATCAAAAAATAACAGCAAGATTGCAGATTGTTTTGGAGACTGTGTAAACAAGTGTAAAACCTGAAAGATTTGTTACTGAAGCACCAAAAGATTTTGAGATAATATGTTGCTACTCCTAATAAGAGCTACAGATTGTCAAAAATGCTACAGTGTCTACCTGTGCTAGATTGATGTATTTTCCCTTACCTTAAATGCAGGCAGCACAGCTGAAAAGTGTGAGCTGAAAGTAGGAGATGAAATCGTTGCCATCAACGGCGAGACAACTAAGATGGTTACTTATGACCATGCTCTGTTCTGCTTCAGTTCATCAGTACTAGATGGAGAGCTGACACTGAAGGTTCATCGATATGAAGACCTGGGTAAGAGAATACAAAGGTTGATAAAGCCAAGGTCCCACGTACACGAGAGGAGTTGAGAAGGTTGGGGAAATAAAGTTTAATTGATATTTTTATTTTGGTACAGGGAATAGAGCTCGCAGTACTACAAGCACCAGAAGCACTGAGCGCAGCCCAGCCAAGTCAGACCCCTCAGAATTCTCCAAACGTCGAGCCATGTCGCAACCCACAGATCCTAAGAATCTGTCTCAGGCAGCTAGGGCAAGGAAGATCCTTGAACAGATGCGAGAGGAGGAGCAGAGGATGGAAGACATGAGACGGGAGAGGGAGGAAGAGAGGATGGGTGTAGCAGTCAATGGGTTAGTCAAGTACTTGACATTATTTTGTCAGCATTGCAGTTAAGTTATCACAAGTCACTATAAGTCATTGCAAGTTGTCTCATGTTGGTCACAAGTCGACCACAAGGCAGTCACAAGTCAACCACAAGGCAGTCACAAGGCAATCACCAGTCAATCACAAGGCTGTCACAAGTCAATCACAAGGCAATCACATGTCATCAAGTGACAACCTACAAAAGCCCTTTTAACACTAGACAAATCACGGGGTTGACGCAGGGTTGAAAACATGCATCGTTTCACACTTGAAGAATTTCAACCCTGCGACAACCCCGAGATTGCTTTCGCCCAGGGTTGAACTCAACCCTGCTCCAGACCAGGGTTGAGATTTTCAACCCGGGTTGAAATTCTTGCCAGGGTTCAAAACAGTAGTGACTGAGCATGATAAGCTTGATTTGCATGAAACAAGAGTGAAACGATGCAGGGTTAAATGCGGGGTTGAAAAATCAAAAACTCAACCCGGAGCGGCACTGGGTTCACCCAGGATTGAGTTCAACCCGGGTTGAGAGGCTCTAGTGTGAAAAGGGCTTTAAATGAACTGTGACACCAGCATTTATCACTTTTATCCTCAATCACTTATGACCTGACTTGTGATTTGACCTGTGCTTGACTTGTGATTGACTTGCGATTGACTCAAGTAAAGCTCTGCAATTTCACCTCTCAGACTCGGTCTTGTTTTTCATTATCTTTTAGAAACCAGAATTGGAACCACAGTGACAACAAGCGGGATCCTTTGAGGGCATACTACGATGAGCCAGAGGTAATTTTTTCACTCTTCGTTGGGTATTGACTTTCTAAAAGGTCATATAAACCCATAAAGAAATTTGTCTTTTCATATTTAGTATGAATTCTTCTTGGGTATTATTTTTAAATTGCTTTGCAGTGGTAAAATAAGGTGTGAAAGGATTGCAGTATTCTTAAGTTTTCCAAAGATAAAAGCAAAATGAACAAAGTAACATTTCCTAAATTGCATTGTTGATGTATTCGAAAAAGGAAGTCATTTCTTCACGTTTGTCAAAAATGTGATAATTTTGCATGTTGCACGAAAGGTGTGCTACTTGTCACTGTATTAATTATGCCTTGTAGTGGCTAGACTGTTGTATACCCTTAATTTCACAATCAGATATGTACTGCATGCTGATCTTTCCTCACCCAATCCTTTAATATAAACAGCCAGAAGAACGACATCTAGGTGATGCTATCCCATCAGGCCCGGCTGCCCCCTCTGTATCTAAACCCAAAGACTCCGCCCCCTTAGGCGGCCCTGAGCAGACCTCAGTTGTTGAATCAGAAATCAAGCAAGAAGCTGTCAAGCCAGAAGAAAAATTAGATCTGTTATTGAATCTCACAAGAAGTTCTCCCAATGGGGAACAATATGGAAAACCTAGCCAAGTTGGGGTAGACGTACTGGGTGATGAAATACCTCTCAAACGGGATGCAATATCACCCGATGCAGGGATAGTTTTAGACAATGACTCAAAAGAAGATCTGGACAGAAAGTATCCCAGTGAAAATGGCTCCAAACCACAGGTCGTGGATGAAAGCATAGAACCTGAAGATAATTTGGTTATTGTTGGGGAACAATCAGTAAACCTCTGGAAGCTACTTGGACATGATGCTTTAGAAACTCCCGAATCTGATCCCCTGGCAAAGAATGGGAATGTACCAGAGGAAACTGGGCCTGATGGGGGTATATTAGATGGTTCTCCAGACAGGGAGATTGGAAGGTCCAAGGTGAGTTGAAGCGGTCATGTTTGCACTGACAACTGGATGAAGTGCCTGCACCACTAACCACGCACCCGCACCACACTAATTACTGTATGAAAACTGTTGCCATCACTAATGCTTTCTTGCACAAGATTTTGAAACTTGTTACTACAGGCTTGTAATCAGGTTATCATGAATCAGTCATATATTAGTCACAAGTAATCTAGACTCAAGTTGAATCATAAGCTATTTAAATAAAAGTGACAAGGGGAATTAAATAACCACAGTCCATACCCTTGTTCTTGTGATTGACTTGTGATTGACTTGTGATTGACTTGTGGTTGACTTGATTGCAACACTTGGAATTCACTAGTTCACAATCGTGGAAATTTCACTAGTATTGCATATTTCCCTTTTTGACAATTTAGAACGGTGTCTTACAATGTAGCGTGTTTAACAAGGTGGAGGAATCCTAATATTTGTATCTTTCTTTTCTTTGAATAATAAGCCGCATTCACATTGGATTAACAATTTGGAAAGATTGACTATGAGTATGACTGTAAGTAGCAATGTGGTTTTTGCCCCTGTGGATAAATGTAATCACTGTTTCACCTATTTTTTTATGCACTGTTTTCTCTATGTTTTCTGTGTGTTTTTTTTCAAGCAATGCTGCTTTTTAAAATAGGTACAATATGAAATTGTCAAAGTTATGTTACAGTTTGTATACATGGATAGCTGTTATTATAAGATGGAATTTTGCGTTGGGGTGATGTAAATCAAATTAGGTTTTGCCCTTCACCGACGTTTTAATACACTGAGTATACAGTGTTAAAATGTCGGTGAAGGGCAAAACCTAATTTGATGGATAGCTGTTGTGAAAAAAATTGATCTTAAAAAGGGGAAGGGAAGTTAGCATTTTAAAAGTGATCGACATTCTGTAAAGCGGTTCGGACTCATTTACATGCTAAATTACTCGTTTCATGTGCTGTTTCAACTGGGTATGCATGGCCATTTCTTGTTTAAGCCCTGGTGTCAAAGTTTGTGCTAAATATCTGTTTAATCCGGTAAATTTTGAAAGTATATTGAGAGGGGAACATTAAAAAGAGCTAAAATACTTGTCCTTTGTTGTACATGTACTCATCTTTCAAGGTGGTGGTTGAGTTCATCTGTGCATTGAGTTCTTTGAGTTGTTTATGTTTTTCATTTAACCCACTTAATGTGTTCTTTTTACTAAATATTTGTAGTTTGCATCATTAGCAAAATGCACAGCATGTCATGTTTTCTGGCTAATGCACCTTGTAAGGGATTGAAAGTCCAGGAAAGCACTTTTCATATAGATGTTTCTGTAACTTTTCAAAGTTTCTCATCTGCACGTCACAATTAAAACAAAATCCTGTTTTCCTTTCGGATATCTGAAACAGCAGCAGATTTTTTGTTTTCTGTAATTTCTGTCGCTTCTTTCTGTTGAAGCATACACCTTTGATTGTCATTTTGGTTTTGTGTTTTGCTATTATTCATAAATAAGAAAATGTAACGAGGATATCTTCTTTTTTTAAAGAGATGTTTGCTGTACGCTAAAGCGACTGCATACAAAATACGTGGTAATTGATTGGAAGAATTAATAATGATGAAGTAACAATTTAAGCCATGGGCAAAAGTTGATGCGTATCGTAAACCTGTTTTGTGAAATGCCTTGCAGTTCCCTTCTTGACACCTAGTTTTAGTTTAACCCCTATGCTGTTGTCTTATTATCATACGTCTTGCTCTGATTTGTTAGATGGAGAGTGATGGAGAGATGTTTTCATCAGAGGATGAAGAGAGAATGGAAGAAGAAATCATGAATAGGATGCAGGAGGAGCAACGAGCTGAAGAAGAGGCAGAGGCCAGGCATCGGCGCATCCAAAATGATGAGAAAAACAAGGTACAATAACTTGCGTTAAATTACATTTTTTCTAACAAAGAACTTAACATTCATAAATCAACCATGCACTGTATCATTGAATACTTTGTCAAACTGTTGTACAATGATTTTTTTAACAGTCGCCCATAGAAGAGGACTTCATCACACCCCAGTCTAAGCAGGCTGAAGAAGCACCAATCAGCTTCAAAAGTATCCCCTCTGAGGCAAGTGCACCTGCTCAGATGCCATGGCAACAATCTGAGAACCTGCCCTCTTCTACCTCCACCACAACAGTTGATAGCAGTAAACCACCCAAGTACCATCCAGTGAAATTCACGTCAGGACCCAAGCCGTTCTCAAATCGGCGCGGACCAGAGCCCTACAAGCCCCCGACATTCAAGCCAGTCAGTGTGAAGGATAACGGGCCTGGTGTCAAGCAAGACATGCTGAAACGGAGATCGGACTTCTTTAGTAAGCCACCGGAGATGGACCAATTGCCTGTCTTTGGTTACTCAGGTAGTGAACCAGACTAGTGGTTTGCATGTTGGTGTGATTTGAAATTGTTACCTCCAGTTATTGAAAGGCTGGGAAATGGTGGTCAGATTTTTACCCATTGATCCAATTACGTGTATAATGTGAAGTTCTTTAACTTATTGCATGACGAAAATTAGTATTACTGGCTCTGTTATTAGAGAAATCCCAGAAAACCTGAAATGAAATAGATTGCATGTTCATCTAACAATTCTTATTCATTCAAATTTTGACTTTTTCATAAACTTTCCTTAAAATTTAATGTCAAAACAAAATCTAAATGTTGTAGTTCTGACCACCAACACTAATTTTGAACAAAATAATAATTGACACAAATGTAACAACTGTTTCCATTTGTTCACACCATTCCCGCATGCTACTAGCTGCTAACTACCTCAGTGGTAACGGAACACAGGTATTTTGTCACGTTATTAACATTATATTAATATTGTAAACTGACATGACATGACTACATGTCACACTAGTCCTTACCATGCGACCAGCAGGATAGTAGTTTAAAATGCTCTAATAAAACATTTGAGTGAATCCTAATTTTTGTGCTAATTTTGGTTTGAAACTATTTTGTATCCCAAAAAGTGCAATTGTGATGTGAATTGCTTTGTTGTTACCATTTACATTTATGCTCTGTGGTGTTTATTATCAGATGATGAGAGAGACATGAATAACCGAAGCGGCCAGTCTAGTCCGGTTGTTGGTGAAAGTGTGACTGCTGAAGTACAACAACCTATCGAGGCCGCCATTGAACAACAAGTCCAAGAGCCTGTTGAATCATCCGTCAGACCACAATCCAAACAGCCTGCATCACTTGCATCTCGGAAGGCATTCAATGTCGAAGAAGAGAAGAAGAGATTAGAGCGATGGCACGCTGAACAGGAGAGGATTCGCCAAGAACAGTATGAACAGGAGCAGAGGAGGCTGCGAGAGCAGCAGGAGAAAGATCTTGAGAGAGCTGAATCAGAAGAAAGAAAGAGGAAGATGGAGGAACAGCAACGGCTGATGGAGAAGCAGAAGATACTGCATGAACAGGCCGCGGAGGAGAGGAAACGTCTTGAGGAAGAACGAAAAGAGAGGGTGAGGAAAGAGCAGGAGTATCTTGAGAGGGCAAGACTGGAGAGGGAAGATGCTGAGAGGGAGAGATTGAAAGATGAAGAGGAGCAACAGAAGATGGCTGCTGAGAGAAAGATGAGAGAACAGGAACAGCTGAGGAGAGAAGAAGAAAAACGGAAGAGGAAAGAGGCGGAGAGGAAAGCAGAGGAAGAGGCACAGCGACGGAGGGATGAGGAAGAGTTGCATCGACAAGAGTTGGAACGACAAGATCGTGAAGCAGAAGAACGAAGACTTGAGATCAACAGACTACGGGAGAAGGAGGCTGAGGAGCGAGCACGGAGGAAGGAGGAAGAAGAAAGACTGGCCCGGGAACAGGAGGAAAAAGAAAAGGAAAGGTTTGCTCGTCTGCGGCAAGAGGAGATTGAACGCATCCGAGCAGAAGAGAGGGAAAAGCTGCAGAAAGAATGGGAGGAGCTTCAGAGAGAGAAGGCTAAGCAAAAAGAGAGAGAACAAGTGGAGCGAGAGAGGTTGGAGCAACTCAGAGCTGAACAGGAGAGGCTACGACAGGAACGCATCAAACTGGAAAAGCAACAAGAGGAGGAACGACGGCAACTCCAGAGGGAGAAAGAACGATTACTGGCACAGTCAACCAACAGCAAGCCTGATGCTGATAAAATACCATACAACAAATCTGACAAAAACCCAGACGTCATTGATAAGGACAATCACTATGGGGAATATGGAGAACCTGTTAAAGAGAGAGAGGTAATTGTGAGCGAGGAGAAAAAGGATGTTTATAGCGCACCTCCTCAGAAGAACAATGATTCTTACAAGGTTCCTGGACAAGCTTACATGTCACAGTTCAAAGGTGAGCATTGATGAGCTCTAGTTACCATAGCAACATCGTGCTTGTCTTACTTTTAACCCAGTATCAAGATTTTCAACTTTCCACCGTGTTGTTAGTTTCATTTAGCCACTTAAATGTTCCCCAGTTTATTGGGCTGAAAAATCTAAATCTAAGCAAACAGCAGCAGTAGATTGACCTTTTATTGCTGAACAATCTTTCTTTCTTTTCCGGTAAGCTATTTCCTTCTTTACCTTTTTGCAGCCCTCGATATCTGTTGATTATTGTATGCTTTATCTGCAAAGATTAATCCATGAGTATTTGATTTTGATTTCGTACAATTTTTGACAGATGGCAGTATGGGAACTCAGCACTGGATGGTTGAGGAAGCTGAGAGAAGACGATTGGCAGAGAAAACCGGAACCTCCCATTCCCACGATCCTGTTGAAGTCCACACCCGTCCAATCGTGAGGCAAGATCTTGACTTGGAACCAGTGTTGGAGAAAAAGAACTACGCCCCGGAACATTTAGCCCCAGTACGTCACATGGATAAGCGAGTCAGTCCAGAACCGATGAAGATTAGAGAACAAGATGTGAGACAGCATCCTCCACCCTCACAGAACCCCAAGAGTCAAGCTTACCGGGAGGTGGCAGTTGATGTCCCATCAGACTTCCAACCGGTCCCGCGAAGGTTGAGAGCACCAGAGATTGAAGCAGAGAAGAAAAAGAAGCAGAATCGACAGTCCATGCCAGATATGGGCAACCGTGTGCCAGATGTGGTCAGGAATGATGTGTATGCACCGCCAGTGCCACCACACAGCTCTGACAGGAACAGTGCACGTATGCCAGAAAGAATCCCACAAGTAAGTTTGATAACTTGGAAGAGGGCTAACACTACTTTTTGGGTGTAGATTGATGACTACTTTTGTGCACATATTAATCATTCCAAAAAAATTGTAAGGCTCACATTTAAATAAATTAAAAAATAAACCTGAACTTAAGGGGCATGATACGTACATGTAATGTCGTGGAGTATCGGAATGAAGAATGAAACATTTTTTAATCACCAGACACTTTGAAATGATCAGATGAAAAACTCAATATTCACTACCTCTATTAAAGCTGTTCTTGATATTTTAATCTTCGGTTTTGCCAAAACTGTATTAAGAGCAACCTTTTGTGTACCAATGTAAAATGCACTGCACTCTACTGATGGGTCACAAGTCTTATGAAAAATAACCAACTCAGTAAAATTCAACAGGAGGCAGCAGAAAGGGAACAATCCTTGGTTACCATGGAAGGTGACCCTATCAGGTACTGACCTCATGAATAATTTAACAGCCACATGCACATGCATAATTCATGAGCTGTTTGGCTGAAAGGAGTGATGTTGGCAACTGAAGAGCAAGCAAACGTGTGTTTGATTTTCAAATTGAAGTCTAATATTTCTCTTTTGTTGCACCCTTTGCTTTTCCTTTTGTGCCACTTTTTTCTACTTTCTGTGATCCTTTTTTTTTTTTATTATTATTTCCATATCGTCCTCTTGTTGCATGTCACTCACATCTTTTTAACTGTTGCACATTTGTTACCATCAACATCTTTTCTCCTCTCTTCGTTCATAACTTCATCCCATTCACTGAAACATTCTTCCAAACTTTCAATCTCATCTATCTACTTGTGCTTTTTTCTTATTTTTATTTTTATTTTTAAATCAAATCCATTTTTGTCTTCCATCCTATTCTTTTTGCATCCTGCTCACCTTTCCTATATCATGTTGACTCTTCAATCATCACATGTCCCTGTTTCTTCACCTCATCTCCCCATCCAATAACCCATCTCACCCCCATTTCTTTTCCTCTCTCCCCCTCTCAGCAGCCTCAGCTAGGCCCCCCGGGTCGCACCTCCGCCTTTCAGCAACCTAGCAAAAAGCCTGCCCCTGGCCGCTCAGTCAGCGGTAAAGTCGTCTGCAGCAACTGCAGCAAAACCCTGGGCAAGGGGTCGGCCATGATAGTTGAATCTCTGGGTCTGCATTTCCACATTCAGTGCTTCCGGGTGGGTAGTTTGTTGGAGAACTCATTAACCTTCTCATTCTTGCTGTGTTGAGTCTTGGGGAATGAATGCACTGAAAACTTGCACGCTCATTGAAACCCTTTGATTGTCATTGATCCTTTTTAAAATGCAAGACATTCCCAAAAAGAGTGTTAAAAAAAGAGAGAATTTTCCCGACGTTTTGAGATGTTTGTTACCATAAGGTTGTACTTTCTGTCATAGTTAATAGCTTAGCAACAGGCCTCTTTAGAACATTGTTACCCTCTTGATATGTATAAGGAATGATTACAATTGCAAAAATGCTTACAAATATAGCATGACCTCTCCTGCTGTTGCATGTCAACTGCATGTTCTTAGCCAAATTTCAAAGCACCGTCAAAAAACCTAATATCTATTTTATGTTTGTATATGACTAAACAGAGTGTTAGCTAACAAAAGCACGCGTGCAGTTTGCCACACAAATGTGCTTGTTGGTGTGCCTTATTAATAAGGATATTATGCGCTGTAGATATAAATGTGTGTATTAAATAAATGTAATAGTTTCATATTGGATATGACTGCACTAGTGAAAGATTTCATTATCCATAATAAAGGTCCGAACCTGTGTTTTGTAGTTGTCATGGTTTTTCACAGTTTGCATTTCAGGAATTTTGGAGCACTTATTAAAATATATTATACATAGTTTTATGGTTTTGTTTAAAGAGATTTAGAGATCTACCGGAATGAGCTAGTTTGTATTGTGGTCTGATAAGATCATCTTTTTAACCCATTCAGTGCTGTGTGTGCAATGTCCAGCTTGCAAATGGAACCAAAGGGACAGATGTACGAATACGGGCCTCAAAACTCCACTGTCAAAACTGCTACAGCAATGATGCAGGTAAACATTCATAGATTTTCATGTAAAAAAAACCCTCTTTGGTGATCCTAACAGTTTGGTGTTCAACAGTCTCTCTGGTAATACCAACAAAATAAAAACCAAGAAAAGTCTGAAGTCTGCTGGGTTGCTGCTTCGCGTCAGTAATGTATTTTGGTTTTGGGTTGATTGTGTTGCAGGATTCGAGTTCACAGAAGTCTGATGAAGATGAGGGAGCAAACAACGAAAGCAGCAACGATGTCTAATGTAAGGATGAATGGAACTTCCTATCATAGCGATGTTTCAAGAACAGTTACTGACCAAGACTACAGAGCAAGCCTGTGATCTTATATGATTATCTGGAGACTTTGTAACCGTTACTGACTGAGCTGAAGTACCTGCTAATTGACCTATCGCCGTTTGCGAGTTAGCCAAGATCTTAGACAACCCTATGGAATTTTGGACGTTAAGTTTTGTTTGTCTCACATTTTGCGTGTTCCGCGTCCATTTGTATATCATGTCATTGCACAACATTTCACAAGCTGCGTTGATGCAATTCTACTGCGATAGGTCAATTGCGCTGCTTTTGGTGTTCCTTAAAAGGCTAATTAACTTGACAACGTTGTACATTTACTTTGTTTTGTCACACTGGTTGTGTTAGCCTAACGTAGTTTGCCTTTTGTTTTATTAATAATGTTAATTCTCACTGTAACATTTTGGGATTTATTCCTTCCAACTTATACTCAGTATTTCACGTGTAAAAATATGTTAAAAGATATTTCCCGTAGTAGATTTGACTTTGGGACAGCATGCTGTATTAAAGATATAAGAGCTGCAAAACTATTTTTTCATATTCTTACTTTTAATAAAACTGTACTTCTAGGTATCAGTGTTAGTTAAATGTTAAAATGGTAAACATTTTCTAAATTTGGGTTTGTTTGTTAGTTCAGTAATCATGTGTTTCGATAAGTGTCTCAACTGTTTACAAATTTAATGTGAAATGCTTGATCTGTATTATAGTGTTTCTGTTGTTGCAAAATACAAACTGTTGATGACAAAAACTTTGTGTCCAAAAGACTAAAAATGAACAGTCAACAAAAATGAGTTGTGCTTTTGAGCAGACAACAGCTGCCTGCATTATAAAGGAAGTATTCATTCATAATTGTTTTGGACCACAGCTTTTATCAAATCTTCAAAGTTCTCAAGCAGGAAAATTATTCATGTACAAAATCAAGGTTTTTTTTTTCCTTTTAGAACTATCATACTCTTCTGTAAATGCTTCTGTTATTAGATTACTTCAGTTGTGTATGTAGGTTTGACCTGTTGATGTGTCTTAAAGTTATACATGTTTTTTTTTTCAAAATTTTGATTTTCTTTTCCAAACAAAATTTAAAGGAATATAATGTCCTGTTAAAAAATAAATTGGCTTGTTTGTTTTGCAGACATTTATAGTTTTAAAAATTGGTTTTAAATGGCGCACTCCAGTTCAGAAATTGCGCACAAGGTTCAGAACAAACTAGGAGCGCCTGCTCTTCATTCAAAAGTTGAAATCAATTAATTCATTACTTGTCATGCGCCAATTGTTTTTGCGTGATGTCTCATTGGAAAGCTCATAACTAATGTAATGCTAGAAAATTATCAATTCAATTTGAAAATGTATTTTTTCAACGTGCCGCACCCAAAAAAGCACGTATACACCAACTTTTAAGTTTGTGTAAAAACTCAAAAGACAAAACCAGCATTATGTATTAAGAGGAGAGGAGCTACCTGTTGTTTACAGTTAAAGTTTGTATTCTTCTGTATTGAGATATGTATGTATTTAGTTGTCTGCATCTTCTGCTTCTAGAAATGAACCGAACAAATCTTGTTTGAAATAAATTCAAAGCCTACCATTTCAGTGTCATTAGGCTATTTTGTAAATAAACAATGTAAAGTGATGGTGGTTTGCAAAGAGAAAAATTGTAGAGTAATCATGGTGGTAAAAAGAATTTTTTTAACTCATTAATTTGTGGCTACGAATTGTACATATTTGAGCTGCTCTTATTATAGAGAAAAGTTCACAAAAATAAGGTGAATTTCTTCCGAAATAACCTTAAAATTCTCAAGTACATTTAATTATTTTGTATTCTTCAGATCGATTGGTAATTTTGTTGCCAAAAATAATGCAGCTTCAGAAAGTATTCTCTTAAATTACTAAAATCGCATTGAGGGATGAAGTAAAATTAGGTGTACATGTAGTTACAAAGTTATGTTTTTCGCTCATGAACTTACAGTAACGGTGTTAATTATCATTAAGCTGTCCAAAGTACCCAAAACAAAGTATTCCGTTAACCTTATTTTTCCCCCTCTGGTCAAATTGAACAGAGTAGGCCTAGTGCTCATATTGTATTTTGTATACTATTATTGGAGGATTGTGTTCATTTGTCAGATCACATTGATAAATTCACTGTCTTTTAAATTTTTCATACGATGTTTAAGAAAAAAATTAAGATGTTGCATAAATGGAGTGGACAATGAATGACTCAAAAGTTAAACCAAGAGCTATACAGAAGTCATATTTTTCTACTTTCTGAGTTCGTCAGACATTGGTAACTTGTGATGAAAAGGAGAACGCTGGTACCTACGACATTTGGATTCATTTCACAGCAATGGCTGAGTGGAATATGACCAATATGGCAGCCATATGACAAGATTCAAAAAATACTTCCTGAATACTCATTGCGGTAACCACACAACGTCACAGCTATGGTATAACTATATTTGACCATCAACAAATCACGATTATCTTTATGTGAACATGTGTAGCTTTGTCAGTTTTCGTTTCAATTAATTTAGCTACTCACCAACGCAATACGACTGGATGCATAACACAAAGCTTTAAAATAGAATAGATGTCCCGATTAAAATTTGGTTGACATGAACAAACTCTCACTTTCCCAATACTTTTGAAACGTCTTGGTTCGAAATAGAAAGGTAAACTGACAAACAATCTTACCTTTCAAAATCCTCACACCCAACTGGTCAAGCTCGAAATAAGTGGTCTATTAATTTCCTGCTCATCCAACTTCAGAAGTTGAAAACTTCCGTGAGATTTGGCAAAATTCTGGTGGTTGATACTGATAGATTCTGTCAGCCGCCGCACTTTATCTTCAAAGTCATCATTTCGTTCTTCTTTTCTGAAAGTTTTAGTTTCAGTTGTTATGTTGGCTAAATCTCACATCAAATTATGTTTTGGTGTTTCATATGTCTGCAGACTAAGAAAGTTGTTTTTGGAACACTACGTTTTTTAAGTTGATGAATAATGAGAAAAGAGCAGACGAAAACGTACAAGCGATATTCACATTACTTTTTAGGCTCGGCCAGGCAGATAGTTTTATCAGTAAGTTTAAAACTATTGTCAAAACAATTATAAAGGAGTTGCTGAAGGAAAAAAATCATTTCGTCAGAAAAAAATATTTTGGCTTTAAAACCAACCCATTTCCCGTAAAACATGACTTATCATGACTTTACCAAAAATCATTGTTACAATGCGATCGTCACATGTTCAGGGGCCACAATTGGTTGGTGCGCGGTTTTAAACAAATCACGGCAGCACGTGACAGGCCGGTCCTCACTTGGGGATTATTGATATTAGCAAAACTATCTTAAGTAGTCACAAATGTTTAAATAAGATAGTGTATTCTAACCTCGGCCAATCTGCCTTCCAGAATAAAGATCAATATTTGAATATTCTTGTAACAAAAACACTTTGTACAGAATGCGGTTGTATATATATTTTTGTGGATTTCTAATGATGGAATAAACATCACATCTGCTTAAAAGGATTCCCAGATATATTTGTTGGGTTTTTTCTGTGTGTTTGACCTGAAGTCAGAAAATAAAATGCTTGGGACAAGGCCAAAGGGAATTTGCACCATGAAAAGTTTTCACCGATATGAAACATGCACAACATAAAATATTCTGTGCGTTTCATATCAGTCAAAAAATTACATGGGTACCACAGAAGTTTAAAATGGGAATTATTCCAGAAGAGAGAAATCTTCAGTGACCTTGTTACACCAATGTGACAAATTTATATCTTAAAAAACTTTCCCTAGGGATGGAGACACTAAACATCGAACTCCGCATCACCCCCCCCCCCCCCCCCACACACACAATATCAATGAATGAAACACAAACAGAACATTTTTTTAATTAAAAAAGATTTTAAAAAATAGATTTTATTGCCACTTCCTAATTCTAACCTTAAAACAAATGAAATGTTAAGTACAAAATATAGTTCATTTCATCATCTTCTACATCTCAGTCTTCATCTATGTTTCAGTTTATAACGTATCTGAAATGATACTTTTATGCTAGAGATTCAGAGATTGATGGGTTTTCAAAGAAATTGGTGACATACATGTACAAGTAAAATTAATTTAAGAATATAATTTGAGTAAACAAGGCCAAAGATGATAGTACAATAAAATCCCCTCAACCAAAAAAATCAAATTTCTATGACACTGAATACTTGTTTTTATTTTACAGTCAAATCAGTCACAAATTTGTCTTAAAATGTGGTGTTTTAGTTTTAATCTTTTGGCCTGGTTTGTTGAGATTCGGTCGCAATTTCTAAGCAGTAGACAAAATCATCTCTACAGCCTATAACTACACAGTTCCTGAACACAACAGGTGATGAAAAGACCTCCCCGGGTAACTGACAGGAAGTCACGACCTCTCCTGACCCAAGGTCAAGGATCACCACTGACCCCTGAGTGGAGCAAACAATCACAAATGCATCACCTCGGCAGCTATGGTGGATCTTTGAATTACATCGATTTGATATACAATGGTATTGTGAGTTGTGAGGTAGTTTTGGTGAGTTGGGAATTAACTTTCCTGAATTGTGAGGTAGATTTGGTAAGTTGCTGGATGGCTTTATAATAACTTCAAAAGTTATCTCAGTTTTTGGACTGGCAAGATTGCCATCCGTCTGGAGTGCATCACAGCTGATGCAATGATCGTGAGGTGCGATTTGGCAGAGTCGATCACTTCGGAAAATAAACGGTGATGTGTAGACAGCGGCAGGCATTTTGTGCTTCCAGCATAGTTGTCCAGTCTGGAGGGACAGACAATAGACATGGTGATCATGTGACCCAAAGACCACGCAGGAGTCTACTGTGGAGGGATGTTTGGTGGGGTTGAGGGTCCCTGGAGACTGAGCGACGGTTGGAAGACATGGTGAGGAGAAGATGGGGGCATCAGCTGTGAATCTCCATAACTGAAATAATAGGATTGGGAAAAAAGGCATGAATTACTATTTATCAACATTTTGATAAGCTGAAAGAGTTCGCGTGCAAAAAATAGAGGGAAATTTTTGTTGGTGCTCAAAATGCCTCTGCAAGTGTGTCAATTCTAAAACAAACATTTCACAAGAAATTATTTTATGACCAAGTCAGGAGTCTCAATTTGATATTTATTAAGAAACATTTCACACCTGTAGTCCACTGTGACTGATGCAGTAAAAGTTGCCGTCCACACAACCAAACACAACGCTATCCAATGATGCCATTGGTGATGAGAAGACAGGCTTGCTACAGTTGAAACTCCACTTCTTGGCTCCAGTTTCCTTTAAAACAAATATTAATAATCAGCAATATTCAGCATCAACAGTACTGTATGCTTTAATCTGTAACATAAGTTTTATTTGGTAAAGTACAGAGGTCTTGGGTTCATATCCCACCCAAGCAAGCCTATGAAGATTAATCCACCTGCTCTTAATACTGAACATTCACTATTTGAAAGGGAAATCTGTCTATAATACAGATTTATATCACCAGTCATTTGTCATGTGATGTAAAATTCTTGTAAATGAGGTCTGCATAGCACATACATTTGCTGGGTTCTTTATACTCGTTGGGTGCTCCGTGGAGTGATGAGTATGATTTTGCCGCACCAAGAAGTGAGGGATCATTCTATGTACTTTGTGCACATGATACATCACTTTGTGGTGCGACAACTATCATTAATTATGTCCCTTTATGGTACGACTGATTATGACTGACTACCTTATTGACAGCTATCAGCAATCCAGCAAGTGTTGCCACATAGACTGTAGATGAAGGGTAGTGTATGATAGGAGAGGAAAACACAGAACCACCTCCACAATGTAAACTCCATCTGCAGCTCTGATCCTATAACAATGAGCAAGCAAAATATAACGATCAGAAACATCAATACAAAGACTGTATTCGTACACTTACACTTTGTGTAAAGATGAGACACCTTAACAGAAATTTGAGAAAGTTTCCAAAAAGTTCCTTAAGCTTTGAGACAAAAGTGTGAACATAAGTATGTGAGCACAACATGATAGTACACTAGGTTTGCTTCCATGGCCAATTAGGGAAACTTTTGTACGAAGAGACTGAATATTTTGGAGACTTTTAGACATTAAACAAAATTGTTCAAGATAATAAAGAGGCCGAATAAGTTACCTCAATATCCAAGGCATAGAGTTGATGATCATGTGATCCAACATACACAAGAGATGAACTCGTATCCACTACAGGAGAGCTTTTGATTGGTCCGTTGGTTTTGAATTTCCAATGGACAGTTCCAAGTGTAGCATCCAACACGTAAAGGTGGTTATCATAGCAACCTGTAAATAATAACCAACAAGAAATCTCATGGAGCTAATGTAAGCACCAAACTTTACTAAGCACAGAAAAAAAAAGTTAGCAGCCAAAAACTCATGTGAAAAGTACTGTTTGTGACTGGTTCTTGAACGAGTTTAGCTTTGAGATATAAATTTACGATTTTACTTTTTAAGTTTGACCTACCAACAATCACTTTCTTTCCACAAGCACTAAGACACGCTGAGGACTCCACTCGGTCGCCTAGCTCTGCTACCCACAATGCATTGCCAGTTGCCATGGAGACTGCTGCAAACTTGTGAGAGTGGGAACCAATGTAGATGACGGGTGCTGACCTATGCACAGGCAAAGAAAGCAGTAGATGGTTGAATTCAGTGGTTGTTACATTTTTTTTTCTATCTTTTAGTAATTTTTTGACTTTTTTGTGGAGATTATACATTTTTATTCTTACCGAGAATGTGTGACCAGCAATGGTGATGCATCAACACACTTGCCAGTGTTGTACTGCCACCTTTGAAGAAGACTGACGCTCCTACCAACAGAAGAATCTTCTGCCTGGTTGCCCCTAGCAACAACCCCATCACTTTTATCATTGAGTTCTGACAAGAAAGCGTCATATGATACTGTTCTTTCTTTGGTTGCCATTAGCTGAGAACATCTCCTCACAACAACACAGTCGGTAGCAACCGGAGGATCGACGGCTGAGGCAAAAGGCTGACAGTTAGTCTGTGATGTGTCATGGCTGTCGTTCACATTAGAAGCTTGAGTTGCCACTCCTTGGAGAGATACGTCACTTTCATCAAGTTCTTCTGGTCTGTGACATTTATTTTGAGAAAAAGATTTCGGCAACTTGGCACAAGTTTCCATCTCACTGTCTTGTACTGCAGTGGTTTCAACGATGTCATTTGGAACTGAAATCTTTCTTCTCTTTGATTTCCGAAGTTGGTCATCTGTTGCTGTATCTAGGCAGCTTCGGATGCATTTCAGAACAGATTTAAAGGTCTGGTGGAGTATGGTATCTAGAAGATTTGGAATGGGTCTTCCGTTCCATGATTCTATAGCATCTGTAAGTCTTACGGCTTGAAATGAGTCTCCACCGCTGTGAAGGATGAATGAGTGATTGTCTTGTGGTTCTGTTGATGATGGGGCTGCTTCCTGTCACAAAAAATCATTAAAAAAAATTAGGATAATGTAAGGTCGAAAGCTACGATGAAGGATCAATTCAAACTCATTATTATTTTCTGATCCTTGACAAATTTCTCAGTTCCTTGTAATAAAACAATTACTTTTTTTAACTTGTTACTTCAAAACTCCAGGTAATATTTTCACGACCTTCAGAGAGTTCCCCAAAAATATACTGAATTTTGAAAAATATCAAATTTGCCTTTCAACAAAATAACCACCTAATATTTTTGGCCTAGAACAAAACCTAGCTAGTAATTGTTACAAGATGTAAGTTTACCTTCCACAAAATTGCCAGATCCTCTTTCTGCATTTCCCCTTTTGTGGGCGGATTCCAGACCTCCCTCTTAAGCCCTTCCATCTCTTCAGCGTGCCTCATCAATGCCTTCTTATCAACCTTTCCATGAAGCGTCACTGGAAACTTCTCCAAGAAGTAGACTTTATCTGGAAGACAGTGGGATGGAAGTATGCCCTTCAGCAAAATCCGGAAGGACTCTTCATTTCCAGTGGATAGAGATTGATTTGGTTCTCGCTTGACTTGAAACGGAATGCAAAAGAGGAGCAGTTTCTCTTGGTGTGTCTGGAGGACTTTGCAGGATTCTACAACTTGAAGGGCTTCAATTCTCTGTAGAAGCAATGAAAGTAAGATTATATCACTGTTGAGGGCATTGTCTGGTACATACTGTATTCACAAGTTTGTCCATGGCATGCAGAGATTTTTCTTCCTTGATTTTTTAAATTTGTATCAATGATCAATAACGAAGTAAGTGAACATTTAATGAAAGTTTTCGTATGAACTTGTTCATAAATATTTAAGCAGAGAGTAGCAAAAGTGTATTGACATTTCAGATACAGAGCTTTAACAAAATGTTCAAAATTAACTTTACACAGATTCTTCTTAGAACTTAACTCCAAAAAGAGATAGATATACATGTATAGTCACAGGGTATTGCCACAAACTTTCGCTTATTGCTCACCTAACCATGCAAACCTTCAACTCTTAAGCAGGAATTTCTTGGATACTTTCGTTCTGATGTTTCTTACCTGTTTAACCTGTATCAGATTGACTCGTATGCCATTCCGCTTGACTTGGTCTTTACCACGACCAACAAACATCAAGCCTCGATCAGTGATGCGCACCCGATCCTTTGTGGATCTCATCACCCCCCTCTCACTTAATGGTATCGGCCAAGTCTCGTCATTCAGCAAACATACCCTGCTCTTGCTTCCTGTGTGGATATATGCAAATTTAGCATAACTTAGATACTTGAACATTTTCATTGTTACGAAGTGCTATCATTTCTATAGCATTAAAGGAATAAGTTTGCACATTTTATCAAGAGGCTCACCAATGAATACTTGTCCTTCTCCTTCTGTGATGGTTTGACCGTTCTCATTTCTTACCTCCAGTGTGGTTTCCAGAAGTGGCTTACCTAGGAGAATGCTTTAAAACAAAAACAAAATTACCCATAAAATATTATCCATATTAGTATGATATAATGGAAGAAAGTACCTGTAAACAAAAGAATAGCAAATACACATCGTTCAAAATCAGAAGTGGCATAAGGAAAACGACTTTGAATCATCTTTTCGATATAGGAAAACTTTGTTCACACAGAGCTGAACCATCACGTACATCATTTTTAAGTGGTTATCTCACCTTTCATGACATTCCTCCATTTTACACTGTGTGTCAATCTTTTGGCACGATGCCCAACTTGACACCTCCGTTATGCCATACAGGTTGTAGAACTCTGTGGTATTGTCTGCTGCCCTCATTTGGTTGATCTGAGCCACTGTGGGGCAGGTTTCCCCACCAAAAGCCAGGACACGGACAAGTGAAGTTGAGGTTAAGAGATGTTGACGCACCTGGTCTTTCCCAAATCGGCTGATTAGGGTTGGTGTAGCCTGGTCAAATAAAATAAAGCAAACGTAAAAAGTCAACAAGTCAATATGATAACAAGATCAAGTCACTCTGGTCAAGTCATTTTGGCATAATTTCTAAGTCAATGACTTATCACATATCATATACTTGTATTATGTAACTAGCACAATCATTATCAAGTCCACACAAATCAATCCCAAGTCAATCGCATGTTCTTCAGAAATTGTCTCAATCAAGTTTACAGTTATTCAAATGGACTGTGACAAAGGCATTCCTTTTTCTCTCTTTATTTGTGAGTTATGACCCAACTTGCGTGTGACTTGCCACTTGACTTGCAATGGACTTGTGATGGACTTGACTACAGTACTTTTTGCATCCATACCTGCAATATGGATACTTGATTCCTCACTAGTATATCCAGAAGTGCTCTGGGCATTGCTTTGATTGAGTCTGGAACTAAGACTAGACTTGCTCCCTTGGACAAAGCAAGAAACATGGCGACAATGCTGGGGTCAAAGGTCAAAGTTGAAGCTACAAAGATGACATCATCTGGGTTGATGCTAAAAATATCACTGGAAGAGAAAATCAGAGTAGAGATGTAATACACTGGTTAACTAAACACCTGTAACTATTTAATACAACCCTTTATTTTTTCAGTTTCACATTTGTCCAAACATTTCACAACTTGAATGTGACTGAATTGAAAAATTGAACACCAAGTGCTCCACAAAGACAAAATGTTTTTAGGACTTAAAAAATACTTACCTTAAATCGGTAATATTTGGCACGATGCACTGATGGGGAACACGCACATTCTTTGGCCAGCCTGTTGTACCGGAAGTGTGCATGACATAGGCAAGTTGGAAGACAGGGGATTGGCTGAAAGTATTATGAGGTTTCTGATTGGTTGAAAGTTTGACCAATCGGAAGCTGATGCCGTGAGAAAGTGACAGGTCATCTGTTGGCTGGGCGTTGTGTGCCTGGCCATAGTTCAACATAAAGTTCTGTAATTGGGATCAATTAAAGAAAACTTGTTAAAGAGCTACAATTAAAGTTTAATTGTAATATCATCAATATCAGTGGCTAGTCTATGAGCTTATATAGTTACATAAATGTTGTTTGAAGTTATAACTGAAAAGAGAAACATGCTTTATTCTTGTTAAAACACACAAGTTGTTTGGAATAAACAATTTCACAAAATTATAATCTGTCAAAATTAGAAATTTTCACAAAATACTTGGTCTTTAAAGAGAAAAGAAACAGGTAATACTTTGCAAATTTTGTGAAGGTGTTGGAAGTCTAAATAAAACTAACCTTCTCTAGGGACTTTGGGACTAAAATCCACAGCAGGCTTTGCGACGTGATCAAATATTCATTCATGTCATGAGGTGCTCTGGGGTCTAACGGGAGAAATGAAGCACCGGCCTGAAGAATGCTTGTAAACAACAAGATACAAAACAAAATATAATTTCAATTTTCAGCACTCTTCAAAAATGTATTATTTAGAAATTTACTTTTTATCAAATAGCACATTATTTTTTGGCAATGTAGTTGGAATCATTGCAAACATGCCCACTATATTAGCTTGAGTAACTCCAGCTTAACAAGCGCATCAGGAATTCACATGTGAATTTCTGATGAGCTTAAGCTGGAGTTCAATTACTCAAGCTTGCCCACTATAATAAAAAAAAATGCAAACTTGAAAAATTAATGCATTTATCTTACCCAAGAATGCAAGATGGTAGCATCACAGAGTTCTCATAGTACAAGCCAACCACATCACCCAGCCCGCATCCCACATTACGCAGCATCATTGCCATGCATCCTGCTGCCTCCTGCATCTGCTGGTATGTTGCCACGGTAACCTCCTCTCCATCATCAAATACAACTGCTCTGTTGTTGGCGTGCTGACTGGCCACCAAATCTACCAATCCATGAAGGGTTTGATTGACTATGTCTGCCATTTTTGCAGCGTCAACCTCACCTTTTAAGTTGAACTTGACAATGCTTGAGTGAGTGAGATGAAGACATTGACATTGTCAACAATGAATGAGAATGTCACGGACTGGTATAAACCATATAGAAACCGGCTTTATTCTAACTTTGTAATCAAATATTTCAGTTATGTTTCATGTACTTAAAAAAACACCTGAAGATAGTATTCTTCATAATGACAATGAATGAAGTTCCAGGTTTAAAATAAATAAAGTTTATGCCGATGTGGCTCAGTGTTTGTTGGGGCATGGAGGAAGGAAAGGCAAGCAGTGAAAATTGTAGTCAGATTCCACTGACCTGGGGATTACAAGCGTTGCAGTCATTGAGTAGTCTGGGAACATGACCAAACTTCAAAATGGCGGCGCCCATGAACAACAAGCCAGGCGATTCATCGGACAATTCTGACGCAAAATGCGCCAGCTGTGGCGAGTGCCAGAAGGTCATGAAACGTTGTACTCGCTGTAGAAGCACTGTTTATTGGTTCGTATGATCTTCAACATTTTGTGTGTTCCTTGTGACTAAAAATTTGCCCAAAATTTGCAGCGAAAACCGGCGAACAAAACAATGCGGTTCCAAAATGCATGAGGGCGCTATTTTCATGCAACGGTTGGCCATACTCATATTTTTTTCTGTTGACTGTTGGTCTTTTTAGTTGTATAGTATTAGTAATAAAAGGTAATAAATTATGAGATTTTTCTTTTAAATTACGGGCATCGTCAATCGATCTTTGGTTGGGGCATACTTGCAGAATACCCCGTCACTCGATCTTTGCACCTCGTAAGTCGTACTCGACTCGTAGCTGGCTACGGAGTCACGATTGATTGCCCTCAACAAACCTTCTCAGTGCTACCTGTACGTGCCAGGCCTGTACACGTCTAGCCCGACTGCGTCTGGCCGTACAGTACTATCGCAAGCTCTGTAGTACGGCCAGACGCCCGATGCTTCCAAAAAGACTGAATTTTGTTGGCCGCCGATGTAGCGATTTTGCTACATCTTTCGATCGCGATTATCTTTTCATCCAGGACACAAATTTCCAAAGTTAAGGTTTGTAGTCGTAGAGCAACTCGTACCTTTTCGAAAAAACGTTCTTTGGTCTCAATATTTTCATCCATCTGGCCACAAGACGAATTTCAGTCATCAGATTCCACAAATATCGTCCCCCATGCGATCCCCCATGCGATTTCAAAATGGCGGCCGCGCTGTAATGTTATGCAATATGCAGGCGCGCCCGCGCAAACTCATGAATATGCATAAACAGTCTGTGACGTGTGACCTCGGGACGTATGGCCCCGCACGGGGCCGCACGCACGTCCAAAAACACGAGGTCACACGTCACAGACTGTTTATGCATATTCATGAGTTTGCGCGGGCGTGCCTGCATATTGCATACATTACAGCGCGGCCGCCATTTTGAAATCGCATGGGGGATCGCATGGGGGACGATATTTGTGGAATCTGATGACTGAAATTCGTCTTGTGGCCAGATGGATGAAAATATTGAGACCAAAGAACGTTTTTTCGAAAAGGTACGAGTTGCTCTACGACTACAAACCTTAACTTTGGAAATTTGTGTCCTGGATGAAAAGATAATCGCGATCGAAAGATGTAGCAAAATCGCTACATCGGCGGCCAACAAAATTCAGTCTTTTTGGAAGCATCGGGCGTCTGGCCGTACTACAGAGCTTGCGATAGTACTGTACGGCCAGACGCAGTCGGGCTAGTACACGTCATGCTCCACTGCATTCCTACTCTGCAGCCGCATAGCCGGCAACAGGGTAGCCCCATAAATGTGGCTTATTTACTGGACTGCCTCCGTAAACATAGGCCACACATCCACATGTACAAAAATCGTGTCGACGGAGCCAAATTTTGATTTTCACATTTAGGCTTAGTTTGTATGTTTTTTTTGCTTTAGAAGCATACTCACCCTCTTTATAGGCTAATCAGAAAGTGCTGCCTTTTTCAGATGTATATTTTTCGTGAAATTTCCAGATTCATTTTTACACGTTTGCGTATCAAAATTTCAACATGAAATTTCACAAAAATTAGACATCTGAAAATAGCAGCACTTTCTGATTAGCCTGTAAAGAGGGTGAGTATGCTTCTAAAGCAAAAAAAAAATACAAACTAAGCCTAAATGTGAAAATCAAAATTTCGCTCCGTCGACACGATTTTTGTACATGTGGATGTGTGGCCTATGTTTACGGAGGCAGTCCAGTAAATAGGCCACATTTATGGGGCTAGCAACAGGGTAGTTGGTTTGGACTTGGTTTGGAATTTTTTCAGCAACTCTCATTCCCATTTCCTAGCTTCGTTCTCAAGTGTTATCAAGGGGACTACCAGTACCACTCCGCGTAGCCGGCAACAGGGTAGTTTCATGGTTTGGACTTAGAATTTTTCAGCAACCCCCATTCCTTTTGTGTTGCTTCTTTCTCAAGGGGACCCCAGTGTCCGCGTAGCTAGCTGGCAATGGACTTGAATTGTTTCTTTTCCAGTGATTCCAACTGCGTAGCCAGAGATTTTAAGGGTGTATTTCCGGGTGGCGGGGTATTCTGCAATTACTCCGATCTTGGCTTAAGTGTATTTCAAAAGCTTAAGAACATCACAATGAATAGATTGGTTTGGTAAAATGGGGAGGGAGGGAATTTGTGACAGTTTGGATCGCTAAAAATTGATTGAACTCTGATGTGAAAGTTGTGTAAAACTTTTAGCTTTTATTCCCTTCATTTCACACAATAAGTTAAGTGTAATCACATATTTTTATTGAAATTTTGAAATGTTTTTTTTTCTTTCTTTTTTGTTCAGCTCAAGAGATTGCCAAATTATAGACTGGCCAAGACACGAGGCGGTTTGCTCCAAATTGGCATCATTCTGTGCCAAAGGACAGGAGACTGATCATGATACTGCAACCAACAGCTCTACTCATTCTCTCACTGAAAGGATACAAGATTCTCTGAATATCAGAGACACTGCACAGACAGCAAATCAAGACCAACCAGACGCAATGTTGCACACGTCCGAACCTTTGAAAAAATCTACACCTTGCCAAGAACCAACTTACAGGATCACTGTTAAATGCCAAAGAGACAAGCATCAAATTCATGTTAACTCGGAGTGGGAGGCTTCCAGAATGTTATCCCACATTAGCGAGGAAATCCGAATTCCCATGGACAAGCTGAAACTGGTGCACAAAGGGAAGCTTGTGAACAAGCAGAACGCGAAGGACTTTGTGAAAGACAAGGCCGTTTTTCAAGCCATTGGTGAAATGTCGGAGAGTGAGGAAGGCTTGGATCCATCTCAAATTGACCGCATTATGTCTAAGATCAGAGTGGAAAGAAATGAAGCCATCCGAGCCCTAAGACTCAAGGGTGATGTCATAGATGCAATACTGTACCTTGGGAACAAATAAGATTTACCACAGGTAAACACAGGAAAAATAACAGTGTAGCGAATCTATAGACATTAATGGTTGCTACAGGTACACATGTAGCATGATGGGGATAGAGGATGCGGTTGCCAAGCAACGTTGCTGCATCCCTCAGTCATTATAGGAAAGCAGTATTAACAATAACATGGAAACAGCATCCTAGAAAACTCCTTCATGCAACCTGTTTGTGTATGCATTTGGTGTGACCAAATACCACATAAAAGTAAAACTCAACTGTGTTCATTTTGTTAAAATAATAAACTGTACATGTGTATACTCACCACCAACTGCTGCAAAATACCTGGTTTTGACTGTACCCTGATAGAAACTCTCCAAAGATGGAAAAATCAGATTGCATATTTACACTTTTTGTCCATGTTTTGTTTTACTTCATTCTTATGAATTTAACTTATTCAAGACAAAATTTAACTTGTAAAATTTCCACAAATACTTTACAGAAGAACCATCCCATCTAATAAGTACCCAAACCCAACCTGTAATAGAAACTTGTACAGGAAACATGACAAGAAGTCAATTTCCCAGGACATCTGTTTGAATTGATTCTTGTACTAAATATTCTCTGCTGTAATCCATACTTTGTAAACATTTAAACAAGGCCCGTTGTTATACTACTTGGCCGATGCTGCTCAAGTTCCCATAAAACTCTTCACACTTCAGGCGAACTAAATCAAACACATGAATAATGCAGGGTAAACATTTGGAGGAGGGTGGTGTGAAATCTCTCATCTCAATTGCAGAGGTCCACTTTTTGTCAGTTTGTCGTGGGTACTAGTTCGGGTCGTATCTAACTACTGGGAGCTGGAGAAACCTTAAAGGAATACGTAGTTAAGCATGGATGAGGTATGTATTAAGATATCTAACACCTGATGTAATGGCGTTGTCTGCTCCCTAGTCTATCCATTGGGCTCGTTCATTGTACAAGCTAAAAGTCAACATGAAATTATCTAATCCGTAAACGTTTTTTAACCATTTATTTCATTAAGAACCACAGATTGGAAAGATTGGGTTTTGTTTGCAGGTGCTTGCAGATGGTGTTTAAGTGGAGTGCCGTGGCCTCGTGGTCTGGAGCATTGAATTCGTGGTCTGCGGGTAATTCTGCAGGTTGTGGGTTCGAGTCCAGCCTGGGGTTATGGTGCGTGTGCCCTTGGGCAAGGCACTTTGTCACTCGTTGCTTCTCCTCACCCAGGAGTAGATGGGTACCTGTGAGGGCAGAGATGGTTTATTGTGGTTGATTTTAGCTGCTTTATGTGCTGAAATGGCAGCATCAAGCTGTATACTCCCCAGGGAGCTGAGATAATCTTTGGAATGTTTCATTGGCGAAATGAGCAGGGTAATATAAATGAGTTAGCGCTCTAGTAATTTAATATAGCTCTGTGGTACCAACTCACAGTAGATTTCTTTTAACTTGTATTCTCCAAGTATCAAGCCTTGTGGGACTTACACATCAACTGCAGAATTATATAGCTTCTGTGTAAATAGATTTTGTCACCACTGTGAAGTTAGATGACTGGTCAGAGAGAAAAGTTCAGTAAAGTTCTGAATCTGACAAGGGTACTTCCTTTGCATGCATTTGTAAAACAGTATATCTTGTATTTCATGCATATAATGAAACAATAAACCTCTATTTACTCGGATTGTACAGATTTCTAAACATTATTGCCTGATAGTGATACGATCGTGTTACTTATGAAATGCTAATTCATTTGAGTACAATACATTTAGTAGTTTGGTACTGTGCTTTAATTTGAGAAAGAGACGTGAATAAATCAGCCTGAAGTTAAATATATTGAGACTTTGCTTTTGGAAGAAAACTTCTGTAGGAAGCATCTTTTATTTGGTTTTCAGACCTAACTTGAATAATCAAAAAGTCTTTGAAACCACTCATGTAAAAATAGAAATCCCTTCCTTTCCACTTTCCATTATCATATACATGTAGTGTAAAGTATGCTACCATATAGACAAGCGATTTTCCATTGAGACTCTGAAATATTCTGAAAAGCAACAGTTTATTAGAATTCAGCTTTTGGAGCAACCCTGGTGTGTGAGTAAAAAAATATTAGAATTATGCTTTTCGATGGATTTTTATTCAGTGACGTTTTTCAGCGCATAACACTTTTCTGCAGGTTAGTACTACATGTATGACAAAATAAAATGGAAAATTTTTGAGATTGAATATTTTATTACCATGAATTATGTCAAATACTTTTATTACATTTGCCCACTTTTGTGTTGAATTCTTCATCCAAAATTGTTAGCTTTGAACGTCATAAAACCCTACCTGTGGAACTGAGATAGATTAGACCCAACACGATGTACAAATTTACCCTGTCAGAATTGGTTGTTCAGGGGTAAAGATAAACAATCCCTGTGGTCTTTGGGTGTATATTACCTCCTTGTTATTGCACGTGGTGATAACTTCAATTCATCCTCTATTTGTCTATTTGTTTGTAGTGTATATTTGATGGCTTTACGCCCAGATAATACAAACAAATAACCTCATATAGGGGTCAATTTATGCCAGTGAGAATTGAAACACAATGTACAGTAAAATGCCGCTATAATGAACACCTCTATAACGAACATTTGATTATAATGAACATGCCATAGGGCTCCCAAATTAGCAAATTATATTTGAATGCACTATCACTATAACGGACAACCACTACAACAAGCATCATGTTCTACTGTAGTCTTGTAAAGCTTGCAATTTCCTGATTAATTTGTTTTAGCTCCTGACAAAATGTAAATATCAATCTCCAACAGAAAAAAGGAAAACATTTTGGTGAGGCAAATGGTGGAATTGATGGCATCTACAATGGAGGGAAAGATGTCACTCATAGTGATAGCGAGAGTAGAAGCTCTGAGTCTAGCGATGGTGGGGAAGGGAAGAGAGAGACGTGGAGTAATCAGTTGGACTTCCTTTTGTCTTGCATCGGGTTTGCTGTGGGGCTTGGCAATGTCTGGCGATTCCCCTATCTGTGCTATGATAATGGTGGAGGTAAGATGAGTTTAATTGAGTCAATCACAAGCCAATCACATGTTAAGTCACAAGTCGGTCACAAGGCAGGTCACAAGTCAGATGGACATGATGAAGGAACGTCTTTGTCAAATTTCATTTTTACAGCTTGTCATTTCCCTCAAGATTAGATGGCTTGTGAAAAATTGACTTGTGATTGATTTGTGATTGTCTTGTTATTGATTTGTGATTGACTTGTGATTGATTTGTGATTGATTTGTGATCTACTTGTATTTGTGATTGACTTGTGATTGACTTGTGACTGATTTGTGATTGACTTGCAATTGATTTGTGATTTACTTGTGATGGATTTGTGATTGACTTGTGATTAACCAAAGATTGACGTGATAATGATTGCAATGACTAACAGTAACAGTGACTTGATTAGAATTCTGTACATAAGATATCAGCTACCATCTTAAAGGGAATATACAACATTTGCAAACATCGAAAAATAAAACTACCAAGTTTTTGCGAAATACCTTAATAGGATGTTGGTAAATGACAGTCTAAAGCATCCTGTAAAATTATGGCACCTGGTATACTGTCATTTTCAAGAAAAGTGGTATTTTTGTATCAATTTCCAACGCTGATCGGCCGATCAGCGTTGGAAACAACTGGCTTTTTTTCAAATACTGGCCCCAATTGACCATCGCACTTGTTTGCAATCGATTACAAACCTATGAACGGGTACGAGCCAGCTAGACTGGTTCCCTGACCTTACAATTCCCCAATGTATGTAAACTGCTCTGTTTCTTCTTATATGGAGTCAGGGAACCAGACTACAGGAAAATGATCGTTTTTCTTGGTTTTTATAGCATTTTCGAACCCAAAACCTCCAAAAAGTCAGTGTAACTATATTTGCTTTATATTTCCAACCCCCCAATCCCATCCATTTCTGAAAATTACAGCAAAAGCAAATGATGTATATTCCCTTTAAAACTTACAATTTTTATTAAAAATTCAGTGTTGTAGTTGAGGCTGTTAGGAAGTTTGCGAAATATTACGTGGTGTATTAGAAATGAATCCCAGGAAACTTTGTTTGGGTATTTGAAGATTTTGATAACTTGAGTACTACTTTTCTACATTTCAGGAGCGTTCCTGGTGCCATATGTCATCATGTTGTTTGTCGCTGGTCTACCATTGTTCTATCTGGAGTTGGCTTTTGGGCAGTTCGCCAGCTTAGGAGCTGTTGCCATATGGAAGATCAGTCCAATTTTCACTGGTAATGACAACAACAGTTCAAATGTATACGTAACTCCATCTTTCGACCATCTACTATGGATTTTAAATACAGATCCTCTTTGGATGAACAATCTGAACTGTCTATCTTCTAACCCAATTCTTATCACAAAATTGACATTATTCTGTCTCTTTTCCTCAGGTGTTGGCATTGGTATGATCATCATCGCAGCCTTGGTTGCTATCTACTACAACGTCATCATTGCCTGGACTATCTATTATCTTATCCGTTCCTGTACAACTGAAGCTCTGCCATGGTCCACATGTGGTCATGAATGGAACACTGCACAATGCTTCAACGAGTCTATGAATTACACCAAGGAAGAGAGAGCGAACCTTACAAGACCTAGCGATGAATTCTGGCAGTAGGTTCCAAGATTGAAAAATTTCCTCATAATTTAATTTTCTGTTGTATCCAGTGCTGACAGGAACAAAATTAGCTTTTACTTCAAATTTCATGGCCCATACTGTTATTTCGTGTTTAAGGATGTAGATTTTAATTAGTTTAAACTCAATACACTTCTCTTTGGGAAGTCTTCTGGAAAGAATTTCCTGAACCTTGAAAAAATCTTTGACTGAAGGAATCAAATGGTAAAATCGTGACAAATCGTTTTCCATACACCTTGATGCTTTTGAGGATCTGGGAAGATTTGGGTAAAAAATTTAGGTCTGAAGCTTGTTGTACATTTGCCTGTTTTTGTTGATTTAATTTCTAGCCATCAGGTTCATAAGATAACCGATGGAATCCACGACTTGGGTGGTATAAGGCTGGAGTTACTGGGCTGTCTGGCACTAGCCTGGATCATTGTCTATCTGTGTGTCTTCAAGGGGATCAAGTCTTCTGGAAAGGTAATAGCCCAGGCTAGGGGAATCCTGACTTGTGATTGAGTTGAGATTTGACTTGCTAGTGACTTGTGATTTGACTTGCTAACGACTTGTGATTGACTGATAATTAACTTGACTACAACACTGGGAAACAATGTGGAAAATAATTTGATAATTAACAATTGTTGACTGTTGCGACGCTAGCAGGTTCCACATGCACGCGCAACATGCACAATGAATGCAATGCGATATCACCCTCAGTGTGTGACATGCCGCATATTTATTTTCCAGACACTCGGCCGTCCGACACCAATGAAATTACAGTATCCAAGCACACAATATAACAATTCAAGATGTTCAATAATTGTTTGACATTTTGTGTTCTGTCCAGGTGGTGTATTTCACAGCCTTATTTCCCTACGTGGTTCTCATTATACTCCTTGGTAGAGGCGCCTCCTTACCAGGGGCTGGCAAAGGAGTAGAGTTCTACATTAATCCAAAATTTGAATTTCTACTGGATGCTAAGGTAATACATTCAAGATAACCATCCCAGTTTTTAAAAAGCCAGCAGGAGTTTTCAACGGATCTTCACCTGATAGGTCCCAGCCACTTTTTACTTTAAATGGTTGTTTCCCGTCGAAAGTTGAGGTGTTGAGAACACCTTATTTGTTTTAAGTACTCTGATTGGTTTAAGAGTATTTGAAAGGTACTGACATGCGTAGGTATTTGATTCAAAACCAGACCCTTCCTGCCAGTCAATTAAACTGCACATTGACCAATCAGATCACAACTTTTGGTCAGGTGACCATAATAGTTTTGTCAAACTTAAGCACAGGCAATGTGAGAAATGTACCGTACACAACCAAAGGTGGGCGGGGCTTAACAATCTGGAACAGTCCATTGTGGTAGTTCTGAGTATTCGGGAGGTGGGGTTTTTTTTTTTTCCAATAGAAACAGGAAGTGTAAATGATGCAGTTGAATTTCTTTTCGGTGTACACCCCCAATTGTTTCTTTGCTTGTTTCTCTTCAGCCATGGAAGGACGCAGCCAATCAGATCTTCTACTCTCTGGGGATTTCTTTTGGGTCACTGACGACAATGGCCAGCTACAATAGATTCCATAACAACTGCCAGAGGTAAAAATAAAATTAAAGGTTTTTAGGAAATCTCAATTGCCCTTTCAATTTGCTCATTTTTCTTGATCATGTTTCACATAAAGTAAGGAGAAAAGGCACCATTTGTGCTTTCATTGAAGTAGCTCTTTGACTACATAATCAATTGCCTTAATAAGCAGTACTACTTCAAGATGAATACATTTTCTCCTGGTTTCCAGTAACCTTTCAGCATGCAAAACTTTTAGAGCTTTTAAATATTTGAATTGAAGATTTCACCTTTTGAACATTTCACCTTTTCTTGTGTTTTTGACCAGGGATGCACTGATTGTGTCTTTCTGTAACTGCGGAACCAGCATCCTAGCAGGGTTTGTTGTGTTCTCTACTCTGGGTTTCATGTCAGTGGACAGTGATAGAGACATTTCTGAAGTTGCAGCAAGTGGTAAGCATCACATTGTGCCATATTATTTATGTAATTGTCAGGGCAATGGTCATTTTGTTTTGACCAAGAAATCCTCACAAGTCCCTGAGTATTTCTTGGGTGAATGTCAAGTATTCTAGTGACTTTGTTGTTCTTTTTTAAAGACCGTGAACATATACATAATCCTCAATTCTTTTAATTATGGTTACCTTTCTTCACCTTTCTTCATATATTCTTTAAAGCTATTATTCATTTGTAAACACATTAAAATTAATGTGAAATAACTATTAAAAGAAAAGGAGAACATAGCTTCATAGTAAAAATTTTTTGGAAAAAACGCTCCCTGTTCTCAAAACTGAAGTTTTTTTGCTGTGTATTTTTCTGCTGTTTCGTGCACGAAACAATAATACGGATTTGTTTTTCCTTGCATCAGGTCCAGGTCTAGCGTTCATTGTCTACCCAGAAGCCTTAGCTAAGATGGAACCACTTCCTCAGCTCTGGGCTGTTCTCTTCTTTCTTATGCTACTGACGCTCGGTCTGGACAGCATGGTAAAACACAATTTATAGCCTAGAACCTTTTATAGATCTATAGATTATTTATCTCAAAGTGTGCCTTGAACGTGGACAAATTTACTTTGGTTTGTGGTACTGCTTAGTACTGACGGTTTGCAGTTTTCTATCATTTCATATTCCAGTTTGCAATGATGGAAACTGTGACCACTGTCATCATGGATGCGTTACCTAATCGCTACAGACGCTGGAAGTGGTTGATCATACTGGGAGCCTGCTTTGTCGGATTCTTGCTGGGAATTCCACTGGTAACCCAGGTAAGTGTTCATTCGAATGGCTTATGACTTGAAACTGAATGACTTGTGATTGACTTGCGATTGGTGTTTGATTGACTTTAATCGACTTGTGATTGACTTGTGGTTGACTTGTGATTGGTTTGTGATTGACTTGTGATTGGCTTGTGATTGGCTTGCGATTGACTTGTGATTGACTTGTGATTGAATTGTAACTGACTTGTGAATGACGTATGATTGACTTGTGATTAACTTGTGATTGCTTTGTGATTGAAATGTGATTAACTTGTGATTGAATTGTGACTGGCTTGTGATTGGCTTGTGATTCTACCCAGGGTGGCTTGTATGTACTGACCATCATGAACGACTATGCCGGAGGGTTTTCCCTGATGGTCATATCCATCTGTTACTGTGTGGCCATCTGCTATGTCTATGGACTGAACCGATTTGGTGGAGACATCAAATCTATGTTAGGATCGTTGCCCAATATCTACTGGAAGGCTTGCTGGGCTGTTGTGTCACCACTTGCTATGGTGGTAAGTAGACTGTAAAACAGGGCTACGTTTGAGAAAAACAAAGCAAAGTATAAATAAATTGATGTACCAGATGTACATTGTACTTGACATCAGGGGGCGTGTTTTCGTGATCGTGACCAGAAACATGTTTGTGATGTCAAATTGATAACCAAAACATGTTTACACATGCGGGCAAAAACGCTAAACCGAAAACAGTGTCAGAAAGTTGTGAACAGACATATGGCGGACATTTTGACAACATCGATAATTTTTAGGTGTTGGCGGCCAGTCCCAGCGAAATTCGGGATAATACCTTGTGGGCTTGTAAGTTGTATAGACATTTTATTACAGGCCACTTAAAAAGTACAAACTTACGATGTACGTATTTTTCCTCAACACTGTTGTGTTACATGTCGTGTATTTATCTTTCTGCCATCTTGAAATGCACTCCGTAACCGACCCTTTACCTTGGTTTGGTTTTAATCGGAACAGTGACGTCACTCCAGCCAACCGAAGTCACGAAAACGCTCAAGCAATAAGCCAAAGGTCACGGTAGCGAAAACACGCCCCGTTGATGATAACTCTATTACATTAGTTCTGATTATAGCAATAACCACTTCAAGAACTGTATGTTCGATCTTGGAGGAGGTCATGAGTTCTAGTTCCTCATGAGCAAGAATTTGAGGTGTTTTTTTTTCACAACTCTTTATTTGCATTGCTTACAGTGCTTAAAAACTACATGTATGCAGTGAAAGTCTAAACCAAACGGTGATATTTACATCTTGCTGCAAAACGTTAAGATTGAATTGTAACTTTTGTACCATCTTTCTGTTACTGTGACAGGTTGTTGTGATAGCTAGCTTCATTTTCTACGCGCCATCAGGATATAACAAGCAGGTCTTCCCACCGTGGGCTCAAGGCATCGGCTGGGTGCTAACACTTCTCTCATTCATCACCATACCACTGTATGCTATCTTTGCTATCATCTTCAGGACTGATAGCTCATTCTCCATCTTAGAAGTGAGTGTCACGATTTTGTAAATTTGTGCTCATGTGGATTCAAATTACACATGCACTTCTGTATCTATGATGAGTTTGCTTTGTTCTAGAAAAAGTGGTTTTCCAAAAAGATGATTTTTCCCAAAAGCTCTCTAGGCATAAAATATAATTATATGAACCTTTCTCTCTGCCTTAAAAACAAAAACTTGAAATAACATTTGTATTTTGCATGTGAGACAAGGTGCCAAATTAAATACCTAAAGTCCATAATTTTAACCCCCAAAACACCTTTTTTGGACAAAAATATATTTGACTGTATTCCACCTCAATGGCACACCACTGAAATGTCTTGTTGTCCCCTTTAATGTTATACCACATTTGAGGTTGTGATGCTTTTAGTTCTGAAGATTTCATAATTTTTCAAATTTTCAGCCATGCATGTCCACTTTTGCGTGGAATGGTGGAACATACTGTGTATGTATTAATTGAATTTGTGGGTGCTCAATACTCATGTTCTCATCGTCATTTCGTGCCTTAACAGCGCATCAAGACTCTACTGAGGCCCACCTGGGATTGGGGACCCGCAATAGACAAACACCGCATCGAGGCAGGCTACGACCCGTTACCTGCAGACGGTGCCCCACCATCACCGCTGGAGATGAAGTCTAACAGCGTCTTTGAAACCAAGAAACCTCACGTTGCTCTGATCTCAAGTGCTTCCATGGTGGATCAGGAAGACAGCAAGGATCTTTACTGCTATGACCAGTCTGTGCAGGTGGATTTTGATTAGAATTGGGGGGAAAAACACTGTTATCTTATTTCAGACATCAGCTTCATCCTCAGGCAACAATCAAGGGTTGGTAAATGGCCTAGCTTTATTAAAATATTCCACGTTAATTTCATTCTTTGTGAAAATTTGCAGGCATGTTGGCTCATTTAAAAATGAATTTTCCAAAAGTTGGTCAGTATTCTGTCATTATGTCAAAGGCATCACACTTCCTCTCTCCCAGTTCAGGAAAACTTTGAATTAACATTAGTTAATGCGGACGAGCTTGTCTTTGCCTTTGACACTTGAGACAGTTTTGAAGAAACTGAACTTTAGTTGGGATTAGAAAAAATCAGTGTTCATTTTATGGTGTCTTAACGGGTAGCCTTTGTGCGAAAACATGCCTTTACCCTCTTTCCTTTATATGTGTAACTAACTCGTCATTCCTCGTTGGATTAGTTTCATAGTTTCTTGTAAGCAGCTGAAACTTGTAATGGGTCATAATTTTATCTGTGTATTCCGTCCTCCCAATTGCACATCCAAAAGTGAAGAATACCCTACAAGTTTGTTGAAAAACAAGATGAAAAACCCAAAGGTTGGAAATTAATGTAAATAATATAAAAATCACAATACATGTTTCCTTGCTGCCTTTGGCTGAGTGAGGTTAATCTATTTTACCACGTAATAAGTTTTGTATGTTTAAACAAGTGTGATTATTAAGCTAGGTTTTATGTGATTTTCACTGTAATCAAATAACTTTTGAAGTACCTCAGATAAAATGTAGCGATAGCATTATTGTTTATTTCATACCGTATATATTTCACTTACGGTATACTGAGTTGGCTCAGGAACGGTGTGTGTGTAGAACTTTTTACTGATTGTTGTCATGCAAAGATGTAATTAATTTTGTTACAAAGGACAGCGATGTAAATACTCGGGGGGGGGGGGGGGGGACTCCCATCAGTGGGTGTTGAGTCACCTTTGTTTAGAAATGTTTACTGAAATGTTTTTATGCACAAATGTCGTTTGTTACAAAGGACAGTAACTACTCAGGGAGGGGGACATGCCGCCACCCCCAGGTGAACCCCCCCTCATCAGTTTAACCCTAGTTACGGCTTTGACTGTTAGATTCAGTTTAAGGTAAAATAATTTTCTGTATCAGAGACGTTACATTTTATTTTCTCAGTAATTGAACCAAATAAATGAACCGTTTTTCAGGCAAAGTTAAGTTGATATGGATGTTTTATGCATGATGATGATAATAGATAATCATTTTTTTTTTTTTTAGCTAATTAAGTCAACATTAAGGAAATGTTTGCAGAAATGCACGATTGTAAATTTTTTAATTTGTTAATCTGAAGTCTGTTTAAATAAATTCATGTTTGCCCATGTACTGCATCAAGTTTTGCTTTCGTGCATGTTTGAAGTGTCATTTCTTTAACAGTATTCAAGTAAAGACTAAATAAAATGGGTTATGAGCAAAATATCCCATTCTTGGGGGGGAGGGGAGGAGGCAGTGGTCACTATTACTATTTAAAGAGAGAAAATAATGTTGGGGTCCGGATTCCTTGGAAAGCCATGCCAATTACACAAACATCTGTATCTGTCAACACATCTTCAGCTTTAATTTTACTTTTCTTAATTTCAGACTTTTTTTCTTTTTCTTATTATCGAAAAATATTTCCTACCCCTAAATGCCAGTCTAAATCCATAATATTTGGGTGTGAGTGTATACTGAGGCCTAGTGCTATTAACAACCCTGGATCTCGTGCTCAAACTGACTCCCCTAGCCCTGCGAATTGGACCCTAATTACGCCATCTTATCTCGGCTTAGTTTCACAAAACTCAAATTAATTTGATTGGATTTTTGACATTGCAAAAATCGTATGCAGCTTTCCTTCCATTTTCATTGCTTCATCCCATTACGTACCGTCCTTTGCATATTTTTTTTCTGGATAATTCTGCGACTTGTCAAGTCTATGGAACCGGTTGGCACGGAATCTTGGCTCAATAATTCTGTTGCATCCGGAGAAGTTTTCCCCCCTCACTACAATGTATTTCGCCGTGATCGTGAAAACATCAGAGGAGGAGGAGTTTTTATCGCTGTGAAAAATACATTCATAGCTTCAGTTGAAACAAATCTACAAACTAATTGTGAACTTTTATGGATAAGCATCCATGTTAAGGGATTGTCACCAGTGTACATAGGTGCCTTTTATCGACCGCAGTCTGCAGATTGTGAAGTTGTCAAGGAGCTGGACTTATCCCTCTCTCGTATTCCACCCAACGCTTCAACCTGGCTCCTGGGAGACTTTAACTTGCCAGATATCGACTGGGACACAGTTGCTTTTCGACCTTGTGGCCAGTACCCAGCTGTCAGCAAGTTAATGATTGACATACTTGATGATCACAATCTTCATCAGCTAGTGAAAAAGCCGACGAGGGATCAAAACATCCTCGACTTGTGCCTTACCAACAGCCCATCATCTGTAGACTACGTTCGGGTACAGTGCGGAATTAGTGACCACGATATGGTCATCATGGGAGTGAAAATCAACCCCAAGATCTCCAGATCACCCAAGCGTAAAGTGTTCTTCTACAGCAAGGCAAATTTTGCTGGTGTAGATGAAGACATGTCAAAATTCAACAAAGGACTAACAGATAACATATTGAACTCTCACAGCATTGACGAACTGTTCGCCTCATTCAAGGAATCCCTGAGGAACTCTATTGATAAACATATTCCATCTAAAATGAGCTCCTCCCGGTTTACCTACCCCTGGGTCAACAGTTCCATCAAACGGGACATAAACATCAAAAAGCGACTCTACAACCGAGCAAGAAAGCATGGTACTACCTCCCACTGGTCAAAGTTCAAAAAATTCCGTAGACAAGTTGACAGAAAGATCAGGAGAGCCCACAAATCCTACATCAAAGACGTCATCGGGGCCAGTCTTAAATCAGAAAACACCAAACCATTTTGGAACTATGTCAAGTCTAAGAAGCAGGAAATATCTGGTGTCTCACCACTTCACATTGCAAACCGTATCATCTCAAGTGCAAAAGATAAAGCTGATGCTCTAAACCACCAATTCTGCTCAGTATTTACACGTGAGGATCGAACCAACATCCCAAACCTAGATGAAAGCCGTTTTCCTGACATCTCCGACCTGGTCTTCACCACCGAAGGAATCCAGAAACTACTGGCTGACCTAAAACCTCACAAGGCACCAGGCCCAGACGGTATAACAGCTCGAGTGCTGAAAGCCTGTGCAACAAGCATAGGACCAATACTCCAGAAACTTTTCCATAAATCCATCTCCACAGGAACTTTGCCTTCCGACTGGTTGACTGCAAACATCACACCCATCCACAAAAAGAATGACCGGTCTGATCCTGCAAATTATCGCCCAGTTTCTTTAACATCGATTATCTGCAAGATCCTTGAACACATTATTCATGGACATATCATGGGTCACTTTGAACAGCATGGGATTCTAGCCGACCAACAACATGGTTTTAGAAAAGGCAGGTCCTGTGAAACACAACTGTCAGCTTTGGTCAACGATCTACAAGTAACCTTAGATAAACGCAGTCAAATGGATCTCATCATCATGGATTTCAGCAAAGCCTTTGATACTGTTCCTCATCACAGACTCCTGGCCAAACTTAATCATTTAGGAATCCGGAATAACATTCATACTTGGATTGACTGCTTCCTCACCAAACGACACCAGAAGGTGGTCGTTGATGGCGAATCTTCACAACCATCACCAGTTGTGTCGGGGGTCCCACAGGGAACAGTGCTGGGGCCCTTGTTATTCTTAGTCTACATCAACGACCTGCCGAATGAACTATCGTCATGCGTCAGACTTTTTGCTGATGACTGCATTTTTTATCGGGAAATAAAGTCTCCTGAGGACTCTCAAATCCTGCAAAAGGACATTGACCACCTATGTACTTGGGAATCTATCTGGCAGATGGGTTTTAATCGGTCCAAATGCTTCTCCATGCGAGTGACACATAAACGGAAACCAACCTCCAACCAGTACACGATGGGTGATGATATACTTAGCGAAGTCGATCATCACACATACTTGGGAGTTGAACTTACTTCTGATATGACTTGGAATCGACACATAAACCAAATTGCAGTCAAAGCAAACAGAACCCTTGGTCTACTCAAAAGAACATTATCCAGCTGTGATAAACACACCAAAGAAATAGCATATAAGGCACTTGTTCGACCACTTCTGGAATATTGTCAAGTCATATGGGACCCCCACCAATCGAATACCATCAGCGTGCTTGAAAAAGTTCAGAGACGTGCAGCCAGGTTCGTCCTGAGGGACTACAGTTACTCATCGAGCGTCACTGCAATGCTCAAAGAACTAGGCTGGGACCCCTTGGAAGATAGACGCAACAGAGCCCGACTATGCACCATCTACAAAGAAATTCACGGTATAATTCCAAGTAATATCTCCCACCTGCAAATTCATCTACCCAGTGACCAGCAAACCACCAGACGTACTACCAGACAATCCAATAGCACTTTAAATCTCCAACGCATCCAGTCAAACAAAAACAACTATCTCCACTCATTATACCCATGGACAATCCCAGAATGGAACCTCCTACCTGACGCTACTAAAAACCAACCCACACTGAACGCCTTCAAAACCCAACTAGACAAGATAAACATCGGCCAACTCTCCACCCATGCGCACTTCAAAATTTAGTCATCAACCAGCACCATGACAGCGTTACCTGCACGTGATAGCCCCACCATAGGCGTTTGTGCAGTAGCATACAGATACAGAAATATCCCCGCCCGCCGCGCCGATTAAGTGAACTGTTTTTTACTTGTTTTCGTCTGCTGAGTTTTAACCAATCAAATTGATCAGAATAAGAAGCCGCGGTCAATCTTCACACTTCTGACCAATCGCAATTGCCCGTTAGCATTACGTCACCGGCCTTCCATTGTCTGACTCTGATTCCGAAAAAAATAGAGCCTAAAGTTTGGTGAAATAAATGTTATTCATTATAAATTTTACGATTTTTCTTATTTTCTAATCGACGGCATTCATAACTTAATTTATTTAAATATTTCATTAAAAAATGTACTTTAAAGACAAAATAATTGTAAAAACTGCATACGCGGAGTAATACACTCTGGACCGTTAGCCCTATAGGTACGTGTGCAAAACAAAACTGCCCGTCTTGTCACTTTTATCTCACTCCGCAGATGAATTTCAACGGGACAGGACCTCAGAAAGTTTGCTCCTCGTTTCGGGCTCGAATTTTTCGCTTCATCTCAAATTGTGCACACAAATCCGTTAATTCATCCTGGCATCCTCCATTGTCTTTTCTTAACTGCTGGCTGGTTTTCTCTTCAAAAAGCATCGTTCAAGCCGCCGTACCAACACAGTTTTCTCCCGGCGGAGAATCCCGCCCGGGCCTGGTGAGTCGGCACGTTTACAAGCTCAGAGCGGAGTCCGGAGATAGACCACCAAGTTTTCCATTCTTTGAGATTTTACCGAGCATCACAAATTGCGTAAAATTGAACTTGAATTGAACTTTGATGAAACGTGAAACAAAGTAGGCCTACTAAAGATGTTGAACTTGAACGTATACCATGTGTATACCCACTGAACCGACGAATGGAAATATACTGTGGATCTTTTTGTCACGATTTTGGAGGATGATCCATCTTCACGCATGAATATGACCGCCAGGGATTAGTCTGTAAAACAGACTCGAGGTGAGTGAAACCTAATTTTTTGTTGTCTGCGAAATAGGGTCATGCGTTGAATTTTTCTTATGAACACGTTTTGTGCAACTTTCTAGATTCTACTCCTCTTAGCCCAGGCCTATGAAAACTATTTGACATCCCCTTTTTTGTTAATTTTATTGAAAAGTGCAGTTCTTTAAACATTAAAAAATGTCCATACTTTTCCGGACACGGTCACTTTTGCTGTGATGTCATTTCAGGAAGACATGTTCAGTTTAGAGATTTCTGTTCAAATTTTCCCAATGATACCATTTGTGAGAAAGTTTTGCTCATTGGCGTATGGCCATGTACTTACACAACAAATCACCAAAGAAAAGACAATTTATGACGGCAAAATATCCAAAACCTTTTGTGCTAAAATAGCTGTAACATTGTAGGTTTCTGCCCAAAATTGCATCACAGTTTTGCTCATGAATATTGAAATTAGAATTAGCATAAAAAACAAAAAGGCACTAAAACCCCCTTCAAAATGGCAAAACAAAAATTGAAACAAAGTTGAATGGGACAAAAAAAATCCATTTTCAAGGATAGAATTTAAAATTACATTACATGCCCCTTTAAACTTTAATAGGCAACAGTTTTACTTACATTCCCCTTATTTTGTGTCATAG